CCCACAAGCGGACGGTCGGAGCGAGCGTACCAATCGCACTGTAGGACAGGTTTTGAGGTCATTCACGTCCAAAAGACAAGGAAAGTGGTTGGAGTCACTGGCGGCGGTAGAGTACGCCATCAATGGGGCTGTTAATGTGGCAATCGGGAAATCGCCGTTCAAGCTCATGTTCGGACGCGAACAGTGGTTAATCGCAACAGGTGTAGCCGAGGAAACGGACCCGGCAGCTCTGACACGTTGGTTCAAGACGAGACAGGACGCCTGGGCAAATGCTCGAGACGCCCTATGGACTAGTCGCGTTCAGCAGGCGATACAACATAACAAACACTGTAGGACCACTGAGCCATTAGAACCAAATTCGTGGGCGTTACTGGACTCAGGTGACTGGAGAGGTCGTCATCAAGGAGGAGAAATTTGAAGGCCCTTACCGAGTCATCAAGTCTTCAAACCACGGTCAAAATGTCGAATTAGAACTCCCGTTGGGAGACAGGCGTCACAATGTATTTCATGTTTCAAAGGTGAAACCGTACGTCGAGAGAGCTATGGGAGGGGTGAATACGTCGGATTCAAGAGGTCAGGAAGTAAGTTCCTCTCCTCTGTATGCACCGCCGTAGTATACTACGTAAAAATCCGTCAAAACAACACCTCGGCCACGCTGTGAGCACAACCTTTTCGGTATTCTTTTTCTAGGTCACCGAGGCAAATGGACAGCGGAGAAGCATATTCAATTTTATTCACCCTATCAAGCTCAACTACAAGTCAAACCTTCAGTTATTTAATTCCTTTCTTATTTTTTCTTTTCTAATTTTTTCTTTTTTAATTTCTGTTTAATTTTTTTTCTCTTGAGTATGCTTAATTTTTCTCCTTTCTCTTTCTTTCTTCTTTTATTTTCAAGTCTCAAGCCTTGTGGGGAGGCTCCGTACAAGGCATGCTCTATTCTTTTATAGGAGGGGAGACTGTAAGACCTACGGTCATTACACATCACCCAATACAAATACTTAATACTTAACACTTAAGCTTAAGCCTTGTTTTCATTTACTTATAAAGTTGTTCACGCGTCCCTCTGATTTCTGGTTCCTTAGAGATATCGGGACTAATCTCTTGCCCTTTATCATTCGGAACCAGGTAGGACTTCTTTCTCTATATTTCTCTACATTTCTCTTTTATCATTTAGTATAGCCTTCCTTAGAGATATCGGGACTAATCTCTTGCCCTTTATCATTCGGAACCAGTGCTTTCATTGATATTGCAATTCACAGATTAGATCTCTTGGGTTCTAGAAAACCCTTTGCCGTGTTCTCACGGTGTCCCGTTCGTAGTATCGAGTGAAGGTTCCTTCGAACCTTACAATGTTCTGCTACGTTTTCGACAGATACCTCGGTAGGGGCATTCCAGGGTCCTCACTAAAGGTTTACACTCAACCACAATTCAGGATGAGCCCCGAGACCCGCCAAATTGGGAATCCCCGCGGTCCGTCCCGGCGGGTCGGGGGGTCGTTCTGGCCTCTGGATGGTCCCAGACCCTCGGGGCTGCTCGGTCCGGGGGGTCGTTCTGAGGAACACAAAAAAGCAATTCTCCTTGGGGAACCCGAGGAAAATGGCCTGCCAGGAAGATTGAGAAATGTGCAATTTGAACAGCAGGATTGTGTGTAAAAGTAAATACAAAATGAGAAAGATGTACAAAAACAGGAAGAACAAGCTAAGTACTCAAAATTTTACAATCCTTCTTGATTCTCGAATCGCGAGTGGTCAATTTCACATATGGATCTTCTCATAAGTAATCCACTCAATTTCATAAGTCATCTCGTTCTTGCTTGCTTCTACCCAAGAATCCAATCCCTGCGTGAAATGTGCCAATCTTGATAAGTCCCATTCCATGACAAAGACCAACGGACAGGGGAAATTGAAGTCTTGGAAAGGTGACGGCACGCTCAGCAGGATCTGCCGGGAATTGTTGGGGACTCGGGGTTTCCCGGTAAATCCCCGTAGCCCGGCAATTCCCGTTGGGGGTCAGGGTCCGGGAGTCGTTCTGGATCTCAGCGAAAAAAAAACCTTGGGGAATGGCGGGGTCGGTTGCCGTTCTGACTTTTGAAAAAAAGTTGGTAGGCCGGGCAGGTCAATCCCCGGCATTTGGGGGTCGGGGCTCATCCTGAACCACAATCAACATAATCAACGACTTTCTCTCAAACAGATTGACTAGACTAGCTTTCAACGGATACAAGTCAACCCCTTTCAATTTAACGCACGGCCTCCCTCAAGGTTCACCGCTATCTCCCCTCCTGTACCTCATCTATAACTCATCACTCCTTGACATAGCTAACTTGATGGAGTGGGCAGAGGCTTTGGGCTTTGTTGACGATGTCATACTCCTTGCAACAGCCTCTGATCCACACCAGCTACAGTCAAAAATGAAAACGCTTCACCTGTGGCACCTGTATGAAGAGACTTACAAGTCAGTCATACAGTGTACTTTATGACCAACTGAGAAGCCGGACTTTGGCCTACAGAACACTCCAAAGTTCTGGAGCACACGTTTTCATTGTGATAAGTCATGAAGATCATAAGTTTTCCACTCTTTTTCAGCATATTGTTGCAATCCAGGAAGTGCTGATCATATGCGCACAAACTTTGACATTGACCTCCAAGTCCAAAAATAAGACACCCCCAGAGCGCTCTGAGCTGACCTTCAGAGCGCTCTGAGACCCTCCAGAGCGCCCAGAGCTCACCTTTAGCGTGCTCCAAGTTCACCCTCAGAGCACTCTCAGTTCACCTTCCATGCACTGCTCACCCATCTTGCCCTGATTCCCCCTCAGGGCGCTCTCATGAGTCTCTGCCCAATGCATTATGGGACTTGAGTCGGGCTTTCAAATCTTTTGCAGATTTGGAAGTGCTCTCACTCAAGTCTGTACCTGCTGCTCAAATCGGTACCAGTCCAAATTGGGATTGACTTTGGATCCTCCTTGTTCTATTTCAAAGCTGCTTGAGGTCTCTGAATTTATCTCAAGAACAATTTTTACAGATGAAATAAGGTGTTCCAAAGCCAAAGCAACAATGAACTTCTATCCAATTCACAAGTTTCCAGTCATTGATTTGGTTAATAGGTCTTGACGCTTAATCCTAGAAGATTATTTGAAACCAGGTATCGATCAAACTAACAGTCAACAGTCATGACTGTATTGTTAGTTGTCTTGTCATACGCATACCCTTACTATGTCAAATACACCAAATCTAGGTGTTCAAACATTTGAATGGGTGGAAGGCTGTGGAAGGCTGTCTTTGATCAATGTAGACTTTGATGAATGATGAATCATTGATCTCATTGATTCGAAACCAATTGAATGAATCATGATTTCAATCATCATTAACCAAGGTTGAAACAAGTTTCAATAATGATTCAATATGATTGAATCAATAAGGTTGATTGGAACTATCAAGGACGAAGTTTAGTTAATTTCTCATGAACTGAGAATCATACTACGGTTTAGTGTAATTACATTGTTATTGATTGAATTATGATAGGATTGAATCAATGAGGTTGGTTCAAATATGATTGGCAAAGGATGAAGTTTGGTAGAGTTTGGTTGGTTCCTTGAGTTAGGAATCCATTCTCAAGAGAGGCTCTTATATTTTTCTCAGTAAGGTATCCTCCCCTTGCTTAGTTTTGTTACTAAGTGAGGAGAGGATCAGATATGGGCGGTAGGTTCCAGGGAAGCTTCTCCTTCCTCTGGAACCTGATGCATGGATATGTTACTTGAAGCTAAGGGGAGAGTTCATCTCTCTAAGGTTGAACTCTCTACCAATAGCGTCTCGTTTCTCCTTGACACGTCACACGATGTTTTCTGTGAGGGAGTAATTGGGAGAGTTGTTTGTTTAGACTCTCTGAAGTGTTGTGGGGTGGGAGGGTGGATGAAAAATATAAGGAGCAATGATAGGGTTCTTACACTCTTTAAACGTTGATGTAACAGTAAGGAAATAATTGATAGGGAAAATTGAGAAATAACGGCGGACGAGGGGACAAACCAATAAGGAGAGCCTTAGGTCAAATACCTCTTTGACTACTGTTGCGTTTGTATCTGGAATGACTTGTTTCATCTAATCCGTAGTTCCTCGGGGAACCTAGCTCTCTATTGGTGAGTCCGCTATTCCTTTAATTGTTCTCTTTTTGATTTCTAACTAAAGAGCGCGCATTCCCTTCATGGACCAGTCTCACAACTCGTGCCTTTTGTAAGAGGCAATCACACAACAGTTTAGTTTGAGTAATACATAGTGTTTGAATTGACCTAACTTGAGAGTACCAATTTGATAGCCTCGCTTGATATTTCTAAGATCAAATCAAGGTGCTCCCAATGCTCATTATTTGATGATTTTTCATTGTGTCAAGAGTTTGAGCAAATTTGAACAAAACAGGGAACTTGAAATTTCATAAAACAGGAGTCCAGAACCGGTCAAATTCTAAAGGAAAACAAAAAAAACAAAACACAACGATCTTGATTTCAAATTCTCAAGGAAAACAATAGAGCAAAACAAAAAAATCTTGATTTCAAATAAAGGAAGACAATAAAACAAAAGAATCATCATTCAAGTTAAAGGCAAACAATGAATTCAGACAAAACCTGGTAAAACCTCCACTTTTTGGCTGAGGAGATGTGAGTTTTGACCAACCGAAGTTTCGCCCTCGGGACAATAACTTTCCAATCTCATACACCACAGGAGGCTTCTGTGTCTGCAGACCGCCTGCTGTGAAGGCCGTCTGTAGCTGGGCCTCAGGGCGTCCTGAAATGGTCTTAACCCGTCTCAAAATGGTCTGCAAAAACCCCGACCTTTTTGAGACCGCATTAGACCATTCTGTGACACCCTGTGGTCCAGCTACAGACGGCCTTCGCGGCAGGCGGTCTGCAGACACAGAACCCTCCCGTGGTGTATCACTATTGATTTTCTGTGACGTAATTGCTTTTTTCGGTCTGCAACTGCTCAGTGATTCAAGCTTAACCACTACCAAATCAAATTAACGGTCAGCAATCCACCTACACCCCTTGGAATGACAACTAATTTACACTTTTTAAAAATCCTTCGTCATCCTTGGACTATCCACAGCCTGTGCTAGGGACATTGATACAAGAAGTCTGTTTTGAAATCTTCCATTCAATCTTCCATTCATTGATATTTTGTTTTTGATTGACTTAAAATAGACTGTGATTGGATGACACCATACTGACATCTAACACCACTCCCTTTACCACAGGAATCACATCGAGTAGTTCAGTGATATGGGGGTTTTGCTAAAAAGCATCGGATTGGTCAGTATATTGCACTGTTATCTTCATAACTCGGTTTAGTCAATTTCTTCAGATGTCTTGATTGAAATCCTTTCCTGATTACTCCTATTTTTTTCCAAATGATAGTACTGCCACTTTCGAAATTCAATACGGACGAGGCATCTCCATCTTTTAGTCTCACAAGCGACAGGGTCAATCAAAGACTCGTCTCAATCAGAGACACCAATGGTATCAGAACCTCGTGAATCCGCAGTGCAAGAAGCTCATTACAATCTGACTACTAAGAGAAATCAGGATAAGAATACTACGGAAGATGCGGACTTCAATTTGCTGAAGAGGATGTTGGCGTCTAAATTGAATTTAATGTTTGTGGATCTTGATCATCATATCGGAAGTCGGTTCTCGGTCAACACCCTATTCAAGGAAGTTCAGAAAGGCATTCATGAAATCTTGGTGAGTTGATAGCGACTCCCCTCTTATGCTCTCGATGCATCACCGACCTCGAGAAACCTACTTTCCATCAACTGATGTTGGCCTCATGATCTCTCAAAACTTCATCCTGAGGATATTCTCTGTCCACAAGCCCAACTAACTCAATCTGCATCGGACGAGCACGCACGATCCCAATCAACTTCATGCTTGAACTCGCACGTACTTCAAGGACCCGTGATCAGTCACCATTGTTGAACACATACAAGGACACAGACAGTACCAATTGTGTCATCGGATGTAAAATTCCCGCAAGCGATATCGAATGATTTCAGACTGTCTCATCCTAGGACTTGGCCGAAATTAAAGGTACAGCGAGCATCAAAAGTTGAGAACGAAAACGAGAACAGACCCATGTGTGAATCGGTCGATGTGGTCAAGGCCCAGGGTTGTGAGTTGACTTTCAAGATGGTGGTACCAAACTCTCATCTGTCTTCTGGAAGTCGCTCACCAGCCCCAAGACATAATCACATTTATTCAAGTGATCGAAGTAAGCTAAGGATCTTTTTTCTGTACCTTCTGTCTTCATTCTGTTCTATCACAGTTAGATCCACTGTCCACCTTTTCATTTCGATTTTGGATCTTTCTCTCTATCCTTATTTATTGAATCAGGGTGGGTTGTTTGTCCTTCATTGATCAGTTCCGACTTGATTTAGAGCATCCACTATGGTGGAAGGGTTTTATCGTAAATTTCGCGGTCCCGACCGCGAAATTTGATCATGCGTGTTTTACCTAAGTTGGTAACCGCATGAAATCGACTATGGGATGATGTTAGGTGTGATTTATCGTAGATAAATCACTGTGAATCAATCAGATCCACAGTGGTTTGATTTTGGAACGAGTTAAATAATTAAACTCCCAAAAACCGCCGGTCTCCTTCCAATGCCTACCTATGCAAGACAACAAATCAATGCTCTTTTCGAGTCTATGAACGATGATGAAGAAGAACAAGACCATGATGAAATGATATTCAACTTCCTGTTTGACCGCCCTCCTACGCCTCCTCTAGAAGCCCACACTCGCATTCACATAGATCGAGACCGCGCTCGACGTGCTCAGCAACTGTTCGATGACTACTTTGCACCTAATGCTAGATACGAATCCAAGTTTGAACGTCGATTCCGAATGAGCAAAGACCTGTGTTTAAGAATAATCGAAGATCTACAATTACATGACCGATTCTGGGTTCAAAAACCGGATGCGTGTGGAGTGATGGGACTCACGGTGTATCAGAAGGTTGTCTGCGCTTTAAAACAGCTCACTCTTGGAGTTCCAGCGGATGCAACCGACGACTATGTTGGTATTGGAGAGACAACAGCTATCTTGACTCTCAAGCTTTTCATGAAGCATATCAATGAAATATACGGACCGGATTACCTTTGACCGCCAAATGCTGAGGAGCTCATTCGGATTACGAAAGAATATGAACTATGTGGCTTACCTGGTTGTAAAGGAAGCCTCGATGGTATGCATTGGGCTTGGAAGAACTGCCCACTTGGATGGAGCGGGCAGTTTGAAGGAAAAGAACACACACCAACTGTAGTTCTTGAAGCGGTTGCTTCTCAAGATCTCACAATCTGGCATGCGTTCTTTGGAACGCCAGGTTCGTTGAACGATATCAACGTATTGAACCGATCGTTTCTCTTTGCTGATTTTCTCAAAGGTTAGTTCATTTTTTTTCTCTTTTGAGTTCATAAGTTGATACCTGGCTTGTTCAGGACATGAAGATGAAGTCCATTTCATAGTGAATGGACACGAGTACAAACATGCCTATTATCTCGGAGATGGCATCTATCCAAACTGGCCAACCATTATCAAAGCTCCCCGAGATCGAGAAGCTCCAGCGGCGAGAATGTTTGCTACGGCTCAAGAGGCTGCTCGAAAGGATATCGAACGGGCATTTGGCGTGATTCAAATCCGATTCACATTCCTTCAAATAGCATGTCGCATGTGGCAACTGGTCAATATGCACGCCACTATGATGTGTTGTATCGTTCTACACAACATGATAGTACAAGATCGAGGCTCACTCGATCCAGTTGTTGAAGAATACAACTCATTGACACAGATAGTACCAAGAGTTCGAGATCCTGCGGTCGCCAATACACTCGCTGCCTATCTTCAGAACACTCTACTTTTGAGAGACTCAAACGCTCATTCACAGCTTCAGCACGACCTCACAATGGATCTCTGGTTGAAAGCAGCAGGTCAGTAGATTGGTTGATAATAATAACTATTTTGTATTGCCTAAATCATAAAGCTACACTGTATGTACATGAACTATGAGATAGTGATAATAATATACATAGGATTTATAACACCTGCCTATTCATACTTTCGAGCTACTTCTGCCTTCATACTACGTAAGATCTTCTTTGAAAGCTCATCTGGACAATCTTCCTCTTTAGCCTGAGCGATCTCGAGATCCCTTCCTTTGGTTTCACTAATCATGAGACTGTTTGCAATGCGATTTGACTCCTCGCTGGCAGCTGCTCGTCGAGTCGATGCCAAAGTTGATGCCGCCATTGCCTCTAATCGTCCTGATTCATCAACAACTGCTCGCTTAGCATCGAGACGTTGTTTCTTTGCTGCCTTTCCACCCATTGGTCGTTCCCCACTGCCTTCAGGTTGTGGATGATTGACTGATTGGTCTGTGAGAGGATCCTCAGTACGAGTCAAGGAAGGAAGAAGTTCTGGTGGTGGTGGTGGAGGTGGATGAAGTTGTTGATTGATGAGGTGAGGATCCCATTTGGGCTCGTATCGAAGCTTCTGCCAAGCCGCGAGAAATTTGAAAGGATGTTTCTGCTCAGCTTGGTAGATCTTCATCGCGTCGGAAATCCAAGTATCAGGAGATGAACCAGATGGTGGGTCGTGCTCAATACGAGCATAGACACCAGAGAACTTCTGGGTTTGTGGATTCATTACTCGCCACCTGAGGGAAGAAAGTTTGTCAGAGCTTGGTTTCTAGACGCTTTGATTGAATTGAGTACGCACTGTCCATTGCACTGCTTGGCTGTTCGAGTTGTGACCGAGTGAGCCTTGAAATGCTCTTCAATAGCTTTGAAAAAGGCGTCCCCTTTCATGTTGTTCGAGTGCTCTGGTCGAGTGCTTGTGGCAACCCAAGAGACAGCTAGTTGTTCCTGCTCGGGTTCACTCCAGTTGACACGAATCTGGCTGTCGGGCTCTGGTGTTTGTGTTGTTGTGTTTTGAGACGGTGGAACAGACATTGAAGTGATGAATCTAGAGGTTTTTGGAGTGACCTTTGGAAGAGAGACGAAGTTTTGAACAACAGCAGAGTACAGCGTATGGAATTTGGATGGATGGATGTGTGCTGTTGACCAAAATGATGCGTCAAATCCTACAATAATCCGTGCTTCAGGCTTGTGTACATTTACACAAGCTTGAAGCATGATTTGATGCAATCGTACGGACTGCAAGTCTAAAACAGGTCCATAGTGGACCTGTGTATAATTTAGCGTCAAAGTTACGATAAATCACTTGGTTACAGCACCCATAGTGGATGCTCTTAAGTCGCTTTTAGGCCCACCAGCATTACTTATTCTTACTAATATGTAACTCATCTCTTTCAACATCTTACTGGGAGCTTTGTTATAGGTTTCAAGTGAAATCACTATTGGATCTAAAATCTAATCAGTTGTCCAAAAGTAGGCTGTGTTAATTATCGCCTGTCTCTTCTTATCGTTTTCTTATAATTTGTAAGTCTTAACCTTTGGTATTACAGAAACTGATTTGAGTGAACAACATATATCCCTGTCAACCTACCTGTGCTTAATCCCTGAGTTTGTCTTTGTATTGGCCTTTTTAGATCACACATCTTCCAATTGATAACTTCAAGCCCTGGAGTGCGAAATCCAACAATCTACAATATTCAGGTGTGATTGGGATTCGACATTGTACCATAGCAACTTTCCTGTCTTGGACCCCTTTTTGAATCAGCAAACATCACACCTTTTGCACTCATTCTTGTATGATGGTCTACCAGGACAAATTCACATGAAACATCTATTTCTGTGTCCATTTTATCTTCTTACAATTGACCCTGAGTAATCAGGTCAAGGTGTATTTCTTTGCAATGAATTTATTTTTACAAGTTCAGCTCCATCCACTTTAAATGTGGGTATAGCTGTATCAACCCACCAGGAAAAATCATAGGTTCAGATATCATGATACAAGTTGAAAAATCAGCTCAGTTGTGATGGTGATGACAAATGTAAGGGCCTTGAAAGTGACAAAATCTGTTGAGGGACCTGAATGCTGATGAACCTGTGACAAATCTAGAGGTTAGACTCCTATCACCTCAGTCACTATACCTCATCACTATCCAATTAGATTTGATTTGGTAAAAGAATAATTTTGAAAAAAGAATGGAAGCATATGATTCAGTCTAAATTCTATTCCTTCCATAGAATAACAGATCATATTTCACCTGATGGACCTGTCACAAATCTAGAGGTTAGACTCTTATCACCTCAGTCACTACACCTGATCACTAACCTACACAATCAGATATGGAACAAACAAGATAAGAAAGAAAGAAAACAGTATTGTATAATCAAAAATGATCTGACCTATTAGATTTGATCATGTAAAAGAACAACTTGGAGAAAAGAATTGATGTGTATGATTCAGCCTCAATCTGGTGTTGAGACAAGCTCAGATGAAACAACATAGATGAATTAATATAAAAAGTTGGTAAAATGTTAAAGTGAGACATAAAAGAAGAATGAGGAGAAGACTAATAATAGAAATGAAATGATATGTGATGATAGTGAAGGGATTGTGGCTTACTCTTTCCATTCTTCAGAATAAAGGATGAGGAAAAGAGTATACATGTGTTGTGAGGGAGGCACAATTCAAATAAGGGTGAATCTTAGGGTTGGGATTAAAGTTAAAGTTCTAATGTAAATTCCATATTCAAACTTGAGTGGTTTATCAGGGTGTTCAAGTAATTATGTTCAGACTACCTTTCACAACATCTGGAAGACTGGTACTACAGACAACAGTCTGTCAACATAGCCTTTGTTCAATCTTAAACAAATTGAGAGAACCCATTACATATTGTCACTTGAAATTGAGAAATATTGACTAACATTTGTTTACAAAGGCATAAACCTGAAATCAACCCCCATGTACTCCCCAAAACAAATACACCTGGAGTATGTATTCAGCCAACCCTGGGCCAGCAATGCATGTGTTGTGTGCTGTTCTGTGCAGCGCCTGTGTTGCTTTTTTTCTGACTGAACTGCAACATAGAATCGATTTCTAGGTTGCGGCATGATCTGCTGCGCAAAAAGATCTGTCAAACCAGTGGTTTTTTGGGCTGCAACAACATTTGTTGCGTTGCTGCCCAAAAAAATACAATTCAGTGTTTCTTGGTGCTGTTGCGCCTGTTGTGTTGCACAATGTTCAAGGCACCACACAACCTGACATCACCTTTTATTGTTGTGGTACTTACCACAAGACAGTGTCTGATGCTGGTTTTTGTTGTGTGTTGCGGAGCAACGCACCAAAAATCATGCATGTTGCGGCACGGTGTGTTGCTGGCACAGCATTGATTCAGCTAAGCAAAATACTGACCCTGTACAAGTTTTAAGATGTGGAAACTTTGGAGCTCTGAGTCTTACATGTATAAATCTGACTCCCCCAAATGCTTAATTTCACACCACAAAGTAACAGCATCAGAGAATATGTCATTTGATATTTCCCAAGCTCTTTGTCTTCAATATCAGTAAATTCAAATCAGCATCTGAAGGAGCACCAAATACCATGATTATATCATTCCACTTGACAAACCCAAATTTCTATACATTGATCAAGGCATCAATTTCACTCTTACAATTACTGCACCTTCAATCCTTCATCAAACCATTGATGTGATGACCAGCCATTTTTTCACATCATTTGCTCTCTTGTATCAAAATCACAAGTTCTATATCATCCTGAGATCTAGCAAGCCTAGGTCAACATCATGACTCCACTCTTCAGAAGTTGTAAGTGTTACTATAGGCAGGGAGCCTACTCATCAATCTACTGCTGACAATAAAGTTCTTGGTGGTTGTATGTTTCAGAAACAGTTGTTCAAGCACCCTGAGCACATCCCACACTTTGTATATCTTTTCATCCTAATGCACGGACAGAGGACTCTACTGTATTAATCCCAATAGCCTAAGAAACCACACATACATTTTATGCATAAGCATTACTGTTGGTGTGTTGTCATAGACCTCCATTCTCAAATTGTGACTCTCATATAATTCCATAGATATCTTTCCCTTGCTTAGTTTCTACTAAGTGAAGGAAAGAACATATGTGGGTGGTAGGTTTTGGGGAAGTTCTTATGTCCCCAAAACCTGGATGTCTAGATAGTGTACGTATGATACTACATGGAGGGTTCACCTCTTATAAAGGTGGTGTAGGAAATCTCTCCCGTTAGTATATTATTATACTTCCTGTGGAGAGTTCATCGGAAGGCCTTCTTTGTGAAAGAAGGACTTGTAGAGAATTGCTCTCCATATCTATGGTGTACGCTGTCTAGATTATAAGAGAGTCTTTTTCAGTCGTGTTAATCATGTAGGGAGGGAGGGTTGGGCAGAAATTATATCAGGTTATTCAATTTAAGTATGTAAAGCTCTTGATTAGAGATTTCAGAAAAAGTAAAGGAAAATGGTGAGGACAATGGTAAAATTGATAAAGAGGAATAAGGACGGGGAGACAAACCAAGAGGGGATGACATTGTTGTATATAACATATGTACAGCCCTTCTTTGGATCTTAAATGAAGAGTGATGTTTTCTGTCTTCTTTGGGATTAATCCACCTAGGATAGTAATGAACAAATCCTTCAAGAGTAATCACTCCAAAGAGGTTTGTCTTGCTCCTTAATTTACCTATCGTGGGTAATTTCCTTCAAGAGCGTGCCTGTCTTTTTCATGGACAAATCTTACAATGTGTGCCTTTTGCAAGAGGCAAACTACTTTTGCATGTGGAATAATTTACAGCTACTCCTATAATAAGACACAAGATAGAGTGTGCAATTTATGCACACCCAATCAAGCAATCAAGTAGTGTTTTCATTTTAGAACTGATTATAAAGTACTTAAAAAGCCAAGACAAATTGATACTTGATGTAGTCTGAATATATGGAAACCATTAGGGTTTAGGGGTTAGGCTTAGGGGGTTAGGCTTAGGGGTTAGGCTTAGGGGTTAGGCTTAGGGCATGGATATTTTACATCCCACTCCAAGGGTCAACATTACCTCTTTCTGAAATCCTCATCCTCCCTCCAAATCCTTGATTCCACCCAGGTGATCCCACCACATTTAGAACTCACAAGAAGCTTGGCTTCCATGCCCTGCTTTTCCCCTGCCTATTGCTTTTCTTGCTGCCAGCAGGAGAAATTTGACATCCATCCCTCAGATTGATTCATGCACAAAAGGTATATACACCTTTTCTTTGTAATATTCAATGGCTAAGATGGGAAATCTTAGATAAATCAAGAGTATTTTGTTTTACCTAAGTGGCAGTACTTATTGGTATACTGTATTTAATGAGATTCATGATTATTCCCTGGGCTAGGCAAAGAGCCTGAAATGGTTTTTGTCGTAGCTTGGAAAAGGGAAAATATGCATGATCTCTCAGTGTGACCCATTAGCTACTTGATGTGAAAAAATAATACACTCAGGCCAGCATTGTGTTACACATAGATAGAAAGTGATCTCCATCAAATTATGAAATAGATAATACTGCATTGGCATTTTAGCAACCATCCCTAAGGAAGGTTTCCTCCATGAGTGATATTTGAGTCAGTATAGCCTCCAGCATCCAAATTGATACAAGATGAGCCCTTTTTATAAGTGCGGCGCCCGCCGCCAGATCTGGCTAGTATTGATTGATATAACATCATGTTAATAGCACCACTTGATATGTCATGGCAAAAGCATCTTTGATAAGTTCCCAGTTGCATAAGCTCAATTGAGATGATATTCCACCAGAGTGATTGGGTATTGACCCAATAGAAGAAAAGGAACAAAAGATAGAGAATAAGAGAAAAGCAAGGAAGGTAATTGGGCAGAACCGATTGAGTGAATCAATTTTATCCAAGTTAAGTTAGCGACTTACTCAGAATCAGAGTGTTCAAGATCATCATCATCAGGGGTATCAGATCCTTTAGGCGTAGAGGAATCAGATTCATCCAAAGTGCCAGATTCCTCAGCAGTATCAGATTCATCAGCGTGGTGTCAACATTTATTCTTGTTCTTGCTTTTCTTGATACGTTTCAACGGTTGAGAGTGTGGATCACCCTTTGCCAGTTCTTGTAGCTTACGCTTCAATTGAGAGTTTCCTTGACCAGGTTCTAAAGTCGTTTGAGTACCTGAAGTTGATGGCTGAGGTTGTGTAGCATTTGAAATTTGAGTTGAAGACTAAGTTCGTTTTGAGGTTTTTCGAGTTCGTTGTTTTGGGACAGATTCCTTGTTCATTCCCAATTCTGAAGTACGTTCAACATGTTCAACTACAAAGACCCCGTTTTTGATGTCCTCCAGCCATGATTTGATTGTAGGACCCTTTGCTCAACAATGGCCAGCTTCAAGCTCCTCCTTTTGTACAGGTCGGACTGATAAGCCTCTCTCCTTCATTTCTTCTTAGGGAATTCACACTTGGGAAATTTATGACCTCGAAAAATTGCATCTAACACAGGAAAAAAACAATACATTATTAAAAATGGATAGAAAATGGTCAAAACGTAAGAGAAATGATATTTGTTAAAAACTCACCAACTAGACCATTGAGCTGTTTTCCTAGCCGACTCTTACGCTCATCACTTGGCTGTTGAGGCTTGCTGGGACCCTCGACTATTTTTGCAGCGGATTGACCGTGGATGTAAGAGGATAGTGTTTGCGGGACCTTGACATTGTCGTGCGCCCACTTGGCGAAATTTGAGTTACTCAAAAAAACCTGTGTCCATCCTTCGGTACTTCCACAACTGACTGCAGCTAGATAGTAAGTAACTTGATATTGCTGATATATAACAGCAAACTGAGGAACAAGGACCCATATGAACGATTCAGTGTATAAATATTTGAAATGAATTGTACAATGGACTTACAGCATGAGGAGCTTTTCGAAGCTCCACAAATGACTTTTTCTGGATCGTGGCTACAGATGTTGAAGGAGACGGTTTGCCGTGACATACATGGAGCTTGTCAATTTCAACAAGTCGATTGAATAACGGTTGATATTTAAGCTTCTCTTCGTCAGTCAGTTTGTGTACCTGCGGAGCGTTAGTCGTTTGATCAAGAAGCTGAAGGGGGGTTTCATCTCCATCATCAGTATCAGGTAAGTCATTGTCTCCACCAGGCACATTTGAGAGGTCGGGTAAGTTTGCCAAAGCAAAGAAGTAAGGGTCTTGAAAGACATCCTTCTCATCTTTGCTAAGCTTTTTCCACATCTTGGAAACTTCTTGATTATGATGGGTCCAGCCTGCCTTGTCGCCTGGCGCAGGCACTGAATAATTCAAATGATAAGAAAAAAGCAAATGAATCAGAAATTCTCGAAGAAAAAAGTATATAGTGTAAAAACATGTAACAATAAAATTGAAGAGAAACAATAGAAGCAAAAGAAATATGTAGATGGAAAGAGTGAGTGAAAACAAAAGCAAGAGGCTCACATTTCTCTTCTAGCGGAAGAAGGCAAAAGGCCAAAAAACGTATCCATGGATTGGCGTGACCCTTTTTGGCCCCTTCCCCCCTGATGATACACGTAAAAAAAGTTGATTACATATGTGAGTCGATAATTCAGGAAAAAAGCAATATGAATGAGGTAAAATCACTTACACTAAATGCCAGACTACAGCTTCTGGAACTCCACCCGTCAACGCTGCCATGAGCATCCTTTTCTCATACTCCAAACAAATCCCCTTGACTAAGGTTTTGATTTCAGATGGTGCTTTACTGTTCTTCAAATCTTGCTTTGTGATGGCCTGGCGAAGGGAAGTTAACGTCCAACTGTCTAGATGATTTTCAAATGTATCCATCTCCAGACCCGGAAAGCGAGACTGAAAGATGGTTGGTTCAATTGGGTTGTCTTCATTGGTGGTTTCTTCCAAAGGAGTTGATGTTGAGTTCTCGCCCTGTGTGTTACTCTTCTTCTTCTTGTTTTTTTTTTTCTTGTTTATTTGAGATTGATTCTGAGTAGAGACAGGAGCATCCTGACTTGTAGGTTTTGATTGGGTGGACACCATGATGGAGATAGGTCAGGGAGCAGGTTGATATCAAAGAGTATGAGTTCAGCTCCGAGAATCGGAGTTGAGCTTGAACCTGCATAATACCATACCTCATATGGTCCATGAGCGCGTATTTGTATACATGTAAGCCTTGCTAAGCGCATAGCCACATACCTTTACCTTTAAAGTGAGGTGCAGCAGCAAGCATCAACTCAGGTATGTTATGTCACTCCATGTGGATTCAAACTTCCTGATTCATCAATAAACATTGTCACAAAGATGTTTCAGGATTGTCCCCTCGTGATAAGTTGTTCAACTGAATGTATTTTATGACATTTAATGCATTTTTCACAAATCCAAAATTGTGCAAATTGGACAAATGGTGTACATGTCACTCAATGATGACCCTACCTTTCTGGTCCTTCAGTAAAATAAAGAGTGTTCACAAAGAAACATCATGATTGATTTGTTGTGATAAATTGTTCAAATTAGTGAGTATTCAATGTCACTCAATGCCTTGAAAATGTGCAAGTTGTACAAAAGGTGCACACATCACTGAATATTTATGGAATCCAACCTGTATAATCCATTGATAAAGATTTTTCATAAAGTCATTCCAAAAAGGATTCCACTAATTAGAGCCCTCGGAACAGTATCCGACGCCCTCTCTCGGGCCGGACCCGAGGCTTCAAACACTAGAGGAGCCCCTTTTTTCAAAAGGGGCTCCTGAAAGCGGGCTCCAAAATAAAAATAATCATGTTCCTATTTCTATTTTGATTTGTTGCAGTTGTAAGGTTGGCAATCCAAAAATACAAAACAGAAGCAATGATAGTCCCCCATCCGGGAACATTGAGCTTGAGCTCAATAAATGAGTCCAAACAAATGGCCGCACATTTTAATTGGCATAAACATATTTTGAATTTACGAGGCATACGGGTTTCATACAAAAGCATAAATCGGGGGCATAGGCCACAGCCACAATAAACAAGAAGCAGAACAGGGAACAAAAAAAAGGGCATAAGGGCATAATAAGGGGCAGTCATCCAAAACAACACAAAATCAAAAGGAAAGCACAACAAGAAAGGATCCTCATGAACAACAATCAAAAAAAGAGCGAAAGGAAAAAAACAACATCAAAGCAACCTACAGACTACCAAACAAAAGAAACAGTCATTCATTCTCAGCCCACATATCCAATTGGACTTTATACTTGTTTATCCAAGCAGGTATATTAGTCGCAGTGATGGTGGGCGAGGAGGAATCGCCGTAAATTTCCGGAAAAGGAAGTGAACCAGACCCAGAACTCAAATTTGCAAAATGCATACCATCAACAAAGGCCAAGAGAATAGGGTTATTCCTGTTGGGTGGCGTGCAATAAGGGAAAAACGTGTAACAATTTGACTTCTTAGGATTGAAAAGAATGACCGGGCACTTGTAAACGCTGGCAATGACGTAGCCTGAATAAGGCATGCGCATCCAGTAATCTTCACCACATCTGGCCTCCTGAGGTTTAAATCGATGAAGGAGATTTTCCACAATTTCCGTTGCCGCCGGTGCTGTACGTCGAGTCGTCACACGACGAGACTGCATTCCAGGGGCCGTCGATATGAGCTGTTCATGAATTTCTCGATGGGCAAGCAGCTCTTCGCGTAAATGGCGACGAACTAGTATGTATGAGTCTTCTTTATTACATCGCAGTGCGTTAGCTATGGCGTAAAAGCCACAGTTGCCATATGGTGGAGGGTCATAAATAGCCTTGATGTGAGGTATGACTATATGTGGTAGTTGCTTTAAGATTCGTTGTTCGGCCGGTTTGACAAGTGTGCTCTTTTCCAAACCGCGAGGTGTTATTTCAGAGTTTTCAGCTGCGACCAAGAGCAACTTAGGCTGTTCCTTTTGCTTAGGACAGTTTCGTTTTTGAATTCCAATCATCTCTTGAGGCAGTGGAAACAGGGCGACACCAAATTTTTGGCTTGATTCTAACGTTGCCTTCACTTGCTGGTCCGTTCGGGGTAACTTCATATCTTCAGCTATCAAACAGGTAGCAAGTTCGGGCACGAGCACTTGATGAAGGAATGAATCCGGTGTGAGAGGTGTGATTTTCGATGAAAGAAGGTGATGGGGAGAAGTTTTATCGCTGATGAAGATCGCCTCCAGTGTTCTCACAAACACTTCAAATCCTTGATATCCATAACTGGATGGGGCAGGACAAAATACAATCAGATAATAGGCAAAGGGTGGAGCAAAGTAGAGGAATACTTACTATCCCAGTTGCTCCACCTCAAATTGTCCCAGCACATCAGTATCAATTCGACCTCGGTTCTTCAATTTTTTTTCGGCGTAGTCACGGTAATGCGAGATTTCAGATTTGTTGATAATGTTACTCAAGAGCTCCGTATACTTCTCGATCCGGCTGAGTGGATTAAAGCACATCAATGACATGATGAGAAAGAAGGAGTATAGAAGGAGTATGTAGCATCATCCTTGACTGTACTTACCTTGGCAATCTGGCAAAATCGATCTTGGTAGGCCACCCTTGTGTCACTCCATAGGGAATAGTTTCACATTCAGCTTGATGCAATTGACAAAATTCGGCAGTTTGGGTCCACTTTTCAAAATCAAATAAAAAGACACGTGAGAAGGAACTCGATGTAAAGACAAGTTATCTCAAAAACTCACTGACAAAGTGTGGAAGTTTGGCATTGCCAGGAGAACAGCTTTCAGATCAGTCAACCTTTTTGATGGCGCAGCAGGGAGGGGATCTTCACAGAAAGGACATAGATCCTCATCGGCTTCCTCATGTTCATCTTCGTCGGCGTCTGAATCATCACACACATCAAAAGATTCCCCCGAGTCAGAATCTACCAAGTCGTCCACTTCCTCAGCTTCTATCATTTCAAAGTAATCATCCAGAAGAGCTTCTTCTTTGGTAAGTTCAAAGGGTTTTGATACTTTGCTATCTTTTGAGACTTTAGAGCTATTCGAAGTCGAAGCAACAACCCTGTTTGAAAGGTCTGATCTTTCGGTTTGACGAAGTGGACAGGTAGTGATTTTGTGACCAGGTGTCAAGCACAAGCTGCACTTGCTAACACGAGGCCGTTTCGCGTCTTCGGCTAGCTCCATATCGGATTTCCATCGCCCTTCAGAAGTAGCTCGACGCTTACCCTTTGCAGTACTACCTCGAGGTCGACCACGAGTGTCACTTTTGATCTCAGCGTTCAGAATTGGAATTAGAGAATATTGACCAGATTCTAGCTGCCCGATCTCACCAAAGAGCTTTCGCAAGGTATGTTCAGGCATCTCGAGTAATTGGTTGAATTTGACACGTGCTGCAGCTAGGAGTCCATCGTGCGTATCGGGGGCCAGCTGCATAACAAGTTTCCACTGTGGATGTATTGAGTCTGGAGATAGATAATCTATGTTGTCTCGAGCTGAGGCAATTTCGTGTGAACACGGGATTCCCCAGGCGCCTCGAAAAGTCTGAGTACAGGGTTTTTGCAGCGAATCAGGTAATAAATCAAACTGGTCTTTGAGCTTCTTGAGGGCAAAGTGAGATATAACGCCATTGAGATCTTTGAAGAAGTTAGGAAGTCCTTGAAGAGTCTTCGTTTGTTCAATGCCGACCAAAACCGTGATTTTGCTGGTTTGATGATCTTCAAACCTTTTGAAAGCGTTGAAACATGTGATGAAGTCATTGTTTCGACCATCAAGGAAGCGTTTGGCTCTATAATGACTGCCTTCTGTACGCGACGTGGAAGAATTGCCAAAGTGAGGGCTTTTCGAAGTGAATAGTGTAACAAATTTGTCGGTTCTACTTAGCCAAGTGCTTTCGAGATAACCGAGTATATCATGCGCTCTCGCAACTTTGGTAACGGCTGCGAGGTTAGTATCGTATTCAGAGGTGGAAGTCGATGAGATGAAAGAGTTCCAAATCTTCATGAAAGCAGTCCAATCGGGTTCTGAGAATTTGGTCTTGCAGTTCTTCGCTATGTTGTGGTTGATGTGCCACACACAGAGTATGTGGGCTGACTCGGGAAAAATCGTGGTGATTGCGTTGATAAGTGCGGTTTCAGCGTCAGTGACAAATGTTTCGGCCGCCTTGATAGAGTTTTGATCATTTTCATCTTGATATATGATTTCTTTAAGTTTCGACAATGCCCATTCACAAGGACCGCCAGATCCCCCCTCAACGTCGAGGGGGGTTGACAGCGTCGCAATTGTGTCCATAATGCATCTAATCTCATCTGCCTTTGTGTGTCCTAGCCTTAGGTAGCGCTTAGTCACAAATCTTGTGATCAGAGAGCTTGACCATCCTCGAGCTCTCAGCTTGGGCTGAACTCCTCATGCAACAAAAATTCCGCTTAGCAAACTGGATGAGCCTATCTGGAAAACTCAAGTTTGGAATTTCACGCGGGGAAACGTCAACATACCTCCATGAACCCATATGTCACATGCAAGACATTCTGTGTCCCCAATGCTTCAATCTTCAAGACCTTTCTGACCTTCTTATAACTTGTCCTCAACTAGCCCCTTTTTTGCCTGCAGCCCTTTTGTCCATCTTCCCTCTTTCTCCATCCAGCAGCTTGCCTCCAACTGGATCCCAATTATCCGAACCGACTTCATACCCGAGTCAAGGGTCTACCATCAAGACATCAATGGTTACATTAGCCACCAAAGACGAGCTGTGGGCGACCGAAGGCCTTGCTGATGCGACATAATACGATTCAACTCTCGAGGGCCAATCAATGCCACTGAACTCAAGGATTGTCTCAACTCCAAACTTCTCAGACCTGGTCCGGCAGTACTCGAACTATGGAATTAGAGTCAGTCGTTTTACTCATTGGAAAGGGGACCCGATTATAAGCTTACTACAACACCAATCCATTAGCGAACTACTGCATAGTCAGCCATGTCAAATGTCTACGAGTCTCGAATTTCTCACCGCTGGACTTGAGGGGAAAGTGGTTGGCTATCGTGTGGTTAGTGGCTAGATTCGAAGCACGTGTATGTGTCAATCTATTTGATCATAAGAGATGAAGACACCGTATGCGGATGAACTATGTGCTCAACCTGATGCTGCTCCTGGTCAGTCTTTCATCTTAACAAAATACAATATTTTGACTTTATCAAGACTGATGATTTGATAAACTTGATCGAATTCAGGGATTGCTGCCATCAAAGCTGGTTGTTTTACTAAACAGATTAAACAAGGATTAAAACCAACTGTTGAGTGTCTCAAAAATCAATTTGCTTTCTCTCTTGAACTTCCTTGACACGTCAATTTGATCACTCTACTAACTGCCTTTTTGTTATTGATTGACATGATTGGGTCCAATTAGTTGGAAATTTACTGTAAAGACAAACTACCTTTCCTCACCCAAAAATTAGAATCGGTAAGTCTTGATTTCTGTAAAAACCAGATGAATTCTTTTGATCTATAATCTAATGATGTGAATGCTTTCCGTTTTTAGCCTTTTGATGGCATGCCACAATAGTTACTCGTGGCTTAGAAATCATTCTAGATCTTATCTTTCTTTAGATGACTTTGATTTACTTTTGATATGTTTTTTTTCACTTTGAATACAAATGATCACTTCCCTCGTTTCATTCAGTGTTGAAGTCTTAAACCTGTTGTGTTTCAAATTGCTAAGAATGGGATGGAGTCGGATCATGATCGATAATTATTTTGATCTGTACTACTGATCAAATATAAATAGTTTGCATTGGATCTAAAATGAAAACTTTTGTAAATTGATGCAATCTTGCTTTTAGATGATGAAAGTCCCTTATGCAGATTATCCTAAAATAAGTTGATACAATACGTAAAAAAGCTGAGAGAAGATAAACAAAAACAACCAATAGTTGAATGATTGGACTGATCCTCAGGCTTATCTTTCTTTCTCCTTCTGGTCACCAACGCTTGCTTGTCTCAAGACAATCAAGGCATACCCTTCTGTTTGTTTGATCTTTCATCTGTTCATTTCAATACTTACTATTTACATTTCAAAGAAAAAGAGAAAAAGTCTATAGAAAAAACAAATTTTTAAAAGAGAAAGTGAAAAGGGTTTGCATTAATTCAGTAAATAACAACAAACAATAACAAAGAAATTTGTTATCACATCAAAACAAGAAGAGAAAGAGAGAAAACAACCAAACAAGCTAAAGAGAAAACTAGGTAAAAGAAAATTGCTCTATTTAAGAATCATAACTTTTTTCAATCTGGACTATTTTTCTTTCCAAAAACTCTTGACAAAATTATCATCATCGTTCATTGAATTTTACCTTGCTGATCAGTCGAATCATAACAACTAGCACCATTTTTACTGGTTGCTTGATGCTCCGGAAGCCAAGAAATGTAAGTGAGATGAAAACATCATGATACTAGCAGAAACTACTTGACTTACAGTATTGTCAACCATCAGCTTATCAGTCAATAAATCTGCCATCACCATCTTCTTGGTAAGCTCTTGAGGATGACTGCCTGAGCGGACTAGCTTTTGTTTTTATTGGTATTAAGCAAAGGAGAAGCACGATATCTCTGTGATTCAGTACGACTAGATAATGGATGTGTATTGATTGTATGAGGTGAGACTGAAGTTTTGATCTTCAACTTGACAATGTGGTTGTTGATTATGTTGTGTTTGGATGACTTGGAAGTTGATGCGGTGCTGGATGAAATTGTGATGTAGTGAATTGTGGTGGTTGTGGTTGAAGTCGATTAGAATGAGGTAAGATACGCTTGAAGTTTTGATGAAGCTGCTTTCTGTTCATGTCGGTCAAGATGTCTTGTTCACGAATTGGCTATGTACAGATGGATCACGAACAGGTCCATAGGTGTATGTACACAATTGATTGCGGGGATTGGTTTCCCGGCTAGCCAATGGTCCGACAGGAGAACCGTGATGAGGAACCGAGCCAAAGGAGAGATATCATTGAAGGTTTGACACAAGTGTTATGTGTGTGTCAGATTGTGAAATGTTTCAGTCTCAGCAACTGGGACTCAGGCTTGGGCCTCTCAAGAATAGCCCTATAGGATTGGCTGAACGTGCAGGGCTGTTCATTAAGGCTTATTGTGAAGGCAGTGAAACAATCCATATCTGAGCTGCTCAGATAGAAATCGATTGCAATGCAGGCTGGAGACAACTGCAAGACTCTGACCCCCCTCGACGTCGAGGGGGGATCTGGCGGTCCTTGTGATTCATATTGATCTTGCTTTTCGTTGGTAAGAAAGCACATAGCAACAGTAAAAGAGCAATGAGTATTGGTGGTTCCTACAATATGTAGGAGGGGAAGATTGGAACGGTTGGTTTTGTAAGTGCAATCCATACTTAACACTGTTGGAAACCGTTGAGCTAAACGTATTCCTGACGGGCTCGCGAAGAACAGATTTTGGAGGGTTCCGTCACTGGCAGTCAAGGTACGATGAGCCCAATTACTAGCGATGATGAGGTCGAATAAGCCTTGAATTGGTGTTCGCCCATTGAGCCAGTTGTCTCTAAGTCGAGTTCGAACATTGTGTATATCCCTTAACAATGGCTGAGAACCCGGTTCCACATTGAGTAGCGACTTGATCTGTGCCACACGACAGCCGGCAGAAGATAAGAGATCAATTTGGAGATGGTTGGCAGGATTGAAACGTCGGTAAATGGCCATGTTGTGAGGATTGTCGAATGCTAGGTGGTTATGAGTAAGTTTATCAGGCTTCTTCGTGTCTTGACATACGACCCATCGGTCCACACTGCTTCGGTAATTGAGAGAGACCTCAAAGAGACACCCAGTCTTTTTGGAAGAAGACGAGCGGATTTGAGCCACTGAGGGTACTTTGTTACCCAGAGAACATCGTAGATACAGTCGAACGGTGTGTTCCTTAAGCTTCTTGTGACTCTTGATTGCAACCGCGTAACCTTGATGTCGAGCAACCGCGTTAAGATACATTACGCCGTTCTGCATCTCTACAAACTGTTTACCACGTTTTGGTCCTTCCAATAAGCAAACAGGAATCACACCTAATGAACAAATCAAAGACATTACAACCACATCACATTACATCAATATGCAAAGCTGGTTTGAACTTCTTGAAACAAATCAAGCTGATGAAAGTTACATACCTATTGGAGGCCAATCTTCGTCTCTTTCAGTAAATTCTTCATCGCCACCTTCCACATCTCCACCGTCGTCTTGTAAAGTTTCGTCCGATTCATTTGAAACTGATTCTTCAGTAGTTTGATTTGATGGAGTTTGAAGTTCGATAACAGCATTTGGAGTTGCGGGAGAATCATCAGGGCTAGAAGACGGCGTGTGAGTGACAGTTAACTTCATGTTTGGTGGATCGTTATCAACAGTTCGCGGGTTTGGTGGAGAACATGAAGACGCAGGAAATTGATGTGAATTAGGATAAGGATGAGATTGAGAATATGACGGGTTCCAATGGTGATTTTCGAGAGGTAGAGGTATTTGACCGTGATTATGATGGTAAAGGTGATTGTTTCTGATGTGATTCCCAGCGTGCGAATACATGCTGGGATAGTGGAAGGCCGGTGCGCACATTGGGCCAGGAAGGCCAGGTCCGGTTTGTGTAAACGACGCCGGTGTTGATTGAGGATACGAAGTAGGTGGATGAGGAGGGTACGTGTACAAAGCAAGTGGTTGAGAGGAGTACGCTGAATGAGGATGAGGGTAAGAAACAGGTATTTGATGAGAGAACGCAGCTGTAGTTTGAGAGTAAGGTGAATGAGAATGAGGTGGAACGACGGACAAATCAGGTGGTTGAGAGTAAGATGGATGAGATGGTGGAGCAAAAGACAAGACAGGTGGATGACAGTACAAGGTAAGTAGTTGTGGTTGATGGTACGATGAATGTGGTGGAGCAAAAGGGTGCTGACCAACTGAGGGATCTAGGCCAGCGTGATCATATGGTAACCCAGGTGGGGGATACCAACCTTCGCGTTGAGTGGTAATGAATCCGCTTGGAGCTGGTTGATTCAATTGGTTGGGTTGCATGGGAGCAGTGTTTGGTTGGGTTTGTACAGCTTCGGTAATTACCGGATGTGGGGGAGCGGGGGTATCGTGGGTCATACTGTACTTTGGTATATTCAAGCTTTAAAGTTGAGATTTGGGAGATCTGCCTTTGACTGAATTGCGGATGGGTAAGGATGCGATTAAAGGAAGGAAGGGTGGGGTTTGGAGGTTGGTTTGGTGGTTTGGTTGGATGCAGTGGCAAGACGATAACTAGAAAGGAAGAGTGAAAAAATCGGACAAGGAGAAAGGTTGAGAGAGAGGTGAGATCCTCTGTTATGCAGTATGTGGATCCTTGCTTGAGGGCCAAAGTCCGTGAGTGAAGGGCCGGTCCGGGCACCAAATAAAAGAGGTGCCCTCTCGTCTAATCTGATCCTTGTTTGTTGCCCCATCAAGGATTAGAGGGCATCATATATGGCCTCTCAGGAAGGTTAGGAGGCTCATTTACAATATGATGCCCTGTTTGGGAGCCCTCGAGGAGCCCTCGAGGTCCAAGGGTGTGAATTTTGGCTTGAGTTTTGTCGGGTGTCAACGGGCCACGCGGGTTTGTGAATAAACCCAAGGGGCTCCGGATATCACCTGGGGGGGCTCTAATTAGTGGAATCCTTCTTTTATCAGCATAGAATTGTATTTCAGGATAAAAATATCAAAAAACAGAAAATTGAGATTCCTCAATTTCTCAATCTCAAATATCTTACATAGGTGTATCAAAAGCATTGTTTATTGGTATAGAAAAGTACCCTACCAATAGCTTTCTATGCCCACACTACTTTTCTATACCCCTGGGTAAAGATGTCAATTGTTGTAGTGTAAGATGTGAGATATTGAATATAAAGGAACAAAAAGAATACAGAATGAGTCTGAAAATCATTCAAAAGATAGAAATTTCTCATCTGTATTCTTTGTATTTAGACACTAAATTATGTGCTCAGGTTAGAAAATGAAAAATTTACATAGATTAGACAATCACAAACTTGTGATGCTTACTGTTTCTCAGGTGGTCTTTGATACACTCAACAAAGTCCCACTTAGTTATATGATGGATTTCTTGATCATTCTTGGACATTGAGTAATAAATCTTTGTGTAGTAGTCCTAGAATATTACCTGATTGATCAAAAGCATCAGCTATTCAACTGATCCTGGGGTAAATGGACCAGTTCATCAACTAATCCCTAGGTAAAAGAATTAGTTTCAGCTTCATGGTATGGGTAATAAGTCAAAACCTAAATAATGATGAGTTGGTTATAATAGTTTGTCTATTGTATAAATTTGTTACATCAAGATCATGACAGCCACACAGTTTAACTGGGCTGTCTACAGTAATGATATCTTTGATCAAAACTTGTGATTCTTACATCTCAACCTACCATATGAAAATGCCTGTGGGCAAACATGTTGATACTTCAGACCACCACTGCAAGTCATTGAGGAAGCTGTATATCTGTTGAAAGACCTCAAGGATCAATTCATACAGATCAAAGACCTACTACTTACACTGATGTTAGGATATGATTGTGAAGACATGCTCAGCACTGCACATTGTTATTGGGGCACAGACCAAAGTAGTTCTGTTGGCAACCTGGGTAGATCCCAATCAGAAAACCACTTGAACACCTAACCACTATTGAAAAATATCCCCCTGATTATCCCCAAGTGCGTCCAATGGATTCAGAACCAAGATAATTTGCTCTACCGCACAACTTTTTCCAAATCCAGTTCCAGCCATGAACCAAGCTAAAATACTGTGGAGTATAGTTGCTTGATACAATGCTGTTTGCCATAGTGCTCTTGACACCTCTGAATGATTATATCTTGCAGTTTCTTGCTTGTGGCAATTTCAATTGTATGTGGAAGGGTTACACAATGAGATATTTGTGACTTGGGAGAGCACATCTGACCTGAAAGATTGGGCATTGATCTGCTTTGCATTAACAGCATTATTAAAACATGTAATTGAGGCAAAGAGGTGTGTTGCTACAAGGTCAATGTGATAGCACTTCAAAGAGTTGGCTGAAAGGGTTTCACAGATTGTGCTTACAGTTATCTGACTACTGATAGAAGGAACACATAAGCATTTATTCCAATATTTTGTCCCTGCAGTCAACCTACAGTCACATTGGAGATACACGGGGAAATTTGAGCAAAATCTCAAAGATCAGAAGCCAGTAGAGCAAGGATTACTCAGATTCCTCGGATTCCTCAATATTTTTTCAATCAATCAATGCATCTCAGAGAGGCAAACAGTTTGTTTCTCTGCCTCATGAAAATCTGCAAATGGGGGAAAAAGTTTTGTAAGGAAGGCAAATTTATACTGCAAAAACTGATTCCTCCCACAGGCCAAAACATGGTCCATGGTCACAAGTCCCTTCCTGCGCTCAAAGCATGTGAGACGTGGTGTGGGACTTTGTTGAGTTTATGTCTCCCCCCATATCCTTGCTATGAAGGCATGCTGGATTTCAAAACATTCAGACACAGATAACTGCGGAGCACTCCTTATAAAATATCTCAGTGCATCTTTCTTTTCTTGATTTTGTGATTTTTTTACCAATATTTGAAGTTGCTGGGGGAGGTTTAACCAAGTCAAACTTTTAATTCTTCTCAGGCCTGATAAGCGTTACATAAAACCCTCTTGCTGTCGAGCCTAACACAGCTGGCAAAAGCTCCTCCTTCAAAAATGAAATGTCCAAGCTACTGGAGCAGATGTCACGCATGCACAAGAATAAAGATGTAGATGGTTTGAATTATGTATCCCAAAATGAAAACCGGGCACTCTTGACCAGCTTTGAGACATTTCCTCGTTATTGCTTAATTGATTTCACGACATGACAAGTCAGATAAAGACAGAATTGTTCCATGAGTAGAATCGCCGAGAAAGGAAGGCAAACAAACGGTTGAGCATTCACTGCACATCTCTCATGAATTGTTCCCCTGAACTTTTCTTGGCGCGCAGTTACCATAGGTTGGCTATGTGCTTGTCGTTGAGTAAAATACATACGACTCCGAAATCTACTCTTCATTGTTCACCACTCCATAAAGGTTGATATTATGGATGTATCAACAAAATCAGATTGGAATCAAACTCTTGTAACACCTCATTTAGCGCCCTTCGGGTCACTCCACTACGACTGATGATTTCTTCTAAAGGATATCGTCCATTAAAGTACCTCAGAACTCTAGTACCACATGCCAAACAAAAAGTGAAGGTTTAGTCTGCCCGTCAGTTCATAGTCTATTTGGTACTCACGAGCGTAAGGCCAAGCCGGACATTCATGACTCACAAATTGAACGTAGTTACCACTGTCTCAGCCTTTTCAGCGCATAGTTCGTCTAACCATCTACGTTGAGTAGGTGTAGCTTTTCCAGGTTCACCCAAGATCTCATCTTCTTCATCAAGATACCCATCCTCAATTTCTTCTACTCTACTGATTTCTCCACTGTGACAAGTGCCACCAGATTGGACTGAAAGTTGTCTAATCCTTCTTCGATGACGTCTGCCAAGTTCATTTAAAGATGGCAATGAATCTGCTGATCCAGGTTCAAGTCTCTGGAAATGATGATTTGAAGGAATACTAGTGCTATAATCTGATGTAGATTGAGTGGCAGAGGCGGCTAGATTAGGAATGATTCTTTGAGATTGCTGACGCTGGAGATTAGAAATTGAACGATTATTGAGGGAATTTATTAATGGAGATGAACCTCTATGAAAACTTCCTCGTATGGGAGCTAAAGAAGGTCGGATGGATATTTGACGAGTGGCGGGTGAAGTTGATGCCTCATCGCGTGAAGTCCGAATTTGAAATTCAGGTGAAAGTGATCCTAGATCTTCATTCTCATTGGTCTCTTCGTCACTTCGCTTGTTTTGATATTGATCCAATTGCTTCACTTTCACCTTGGTACGGCCGTCTACCTTAAGTCGAACGTGCGTGCGTTCTCGACAAACAAGATCACGTTTTAACAACCACACCAAGATAGCCATGGATTCTGCCTTGTCTAATCCAGGTTGCAAGCTCGGTAAGATAGAAGAGAAAGGTTGTCTCGCTTGCTTGCTTATTAATGAAAGCACGGAGACTAAGTGAGGTAAGGTGGGGAAAGCATTTGCGAATTCTTCATTTAATGCTGAGAATGGAAGTACAGGCGGAAGATCTTGATCAACAATGTAATCGGCCTGTGAATGTAAAAGCGAAGCGAGTTGGTATGTATTCCGTAAAGTCACCACGTCGGTGATTTTGGCCTTTCGCCAATAGATCAAGTGCTCAGTCATCTCAGCTATCGTCTTAGAGTCTGTGTCCAATAGGAACTTGTATTCATATAGACTACGTGACGGTATGTAATTTGATCAACAAACTTGTGAATGTGTTTTGGGCCGAGATTAAGGGCCTCTGAAGGTTGTAGGTTTTTCTGGAACACTTACGTTAATGCCGGCTTGATAATCGCAATGAAATCTCGAAGTAAACTTTGAGGCGGAACCTGTTCAATTAAGATCTGAGGATCTTCCAAGAGTAACAGACTCTTCCAAGTCTCTAAGTGAGTATACCTATCCTCTTCTCCAACATCACCTGGAAACTCATCTACATTCAACCAATTCTCTGATCCAGTTCGATGATCAAACAATTCTCGGTGTAGCAAAAGCTCCAGATCAAGCTGATTATCAAATGTGACGCTCGTCCGACCACGCTCTTTCAGATCGTCGAAGATCTGTGCAAGCGCTCTGGCTAGGTCTGAGTGACGTTCAAGAAGCTTAAACATCTCCTCGGTACTAGTATGTTTACTTCGGGTCCTGCTGCCATGTGACTCCAAATCACGGCGATCGATTTCATATCCATTGATCTTTTGTGACTCGCGGGTAAGATAAGATGACTGGCGTTCAAGTCTCTTGAGAGCTGCTGTCACCTTCAAGACTACATCTTGATAATACACTTCGAGGTGCTGTGACAGATGTGAGGCAGGCGGTGTATCGATGATCAGAGCCAATGTGAATGACTGAAGCGGTACCAAACGAGTTGAGGTGGCTAAAAAATCGTCATCAGGAGCCGGCGTGGCGATGGATCGCGAGGAATCGAGAGGGGAGTACGCCAAAATGGAACGAGTCTGGTTCAGACCGGAGCCTAAAGAGGGTTGATATGCGACTCTTTGTAGAGGGGTCGGGGATGGACTAGAAGCGCTTCGATTGGAGGTGGAGGTTAAGTGGTGTAAGGATTGTAGGGGAGATGATTCGACATGGGAAGATCTGGAAGGTGTCATCATGCGCGTCAGCTGAGAAACCGGCCCAGGAGGGGGGCGAGAAGGTGTAGGTGACATGATTGGACGTGGTGAGAGGCTTGTATCGGGGATCGATGGGGTAGCAAGAGGCGTGGCCTCGGATGGAACAGTCTGGCTAGTCAGGGAAGGGCGCGCGCTGCCCACATCTACAATGCGGTCCCCTTCTCTAGAAGAAGAGGCGTTCCTGTGGTTGTTGAATGGCGGTAACAGCGGATTACAATCACTAGCAGAATCTGATCTCGTAGTAGTAGATGCTTGTCTGTCTGTCAATTCTTTACCTCCGGAGCGCGTTCGCGTCCTCCCCCGTTCGAAAGATGCTTCGATGTTGATAGCGGCAGACTGTTGACTGATTGCTGAAGGATGTCCAATGATGGCAAGCGAGTCTATCACTAATTCGAGTTTGCGCCCGCTACCCGCTGCACGATTGCTAGTTTGTGTGTGTTTGCCAGTGTTTCTGGTTTTCAGCATGTCAGCCCAGTCATCCCGTGCGAAGCCAAGGTATTGATCGGCATCCAAATGATCTGTTGAACGATCTTGATGGAGGCTTTCATTCGCGTTTGCCCAGTAGAATGAACCAGGACATGCAGTCGGGTCTTCATCCTGGTCTCCTGTCACTGACCCCTCGAGGTTGGCCTTGCGACGGATTAAGCTGCTATTCAGGCTACCGCCAGAGATCATTCTTTGAGTGGCATTACGACCCGAAGGCTGTGATGTAGGTTCATAATACATGTCCAACTCTTCTTCGGATGAACCTCCGTCCTTCTTGAAGCCACGAACATAATGAAGCACAGCTGGGTCTTCCTTGGGTAAGCATGGCCGGCTGTTTGATCTAGTTTCAGAGAATGCCACGGGATCTACCCCACCTACGCGAGGCTGCGAAGGCTTATAGACCGGGCGATCAAGCCTAGGTATCGGTCGTGGACGGGGTGGCCAAGCAAAAGTGAGAGTAGGTGTGTCATCGCTTTGAGTGACGAGAATAAGTGCCAACAAGCTGCTCATGATATCCACAAGCAAAAGATGTTATCGGAGACTTATGAATCGGCGATGCAAATAACTTCGTATTTTAGAAATATGTCCTCTTGAAGGTTATAAACTTAATCATCTCCCTGCTCCGAGTAAAACTTGGTGGTGCAGGAAGGAAAACAGTCAAATTATGAGAACTTGAAGAACATTGAAATCTCATAGCCAAATCTCGTCTCATCTGATTTTCAATGTGACCCAGTGGTCCTGCCCGACTGCATGTGGATAATAAGTCGGGTACTCGGGATTAACGTCCCTCGGGAGTCGGCAGCCAGCATGACTTGGTACTCGACTATGGCGGCTCGGGCGAGTATCCTCCAAAGTCCCTTCACAACACCTTTCCTCTGAATTCTGAGAGTCTGACCTCAATAATCACCACCTCACCCTCCTTCGTCAGACAAAATAGTTCAAGATGGAAGATGAAAAGGCAACCTCCTCAATTGATCTTGATTCACTCACTCCTCACGTTGATGAGGAAGATTGTGATGAGGTACGTTTTGAACATCTGGTTTATAGCTTTTCAAACCATAAACTACCTTATCATCTAACTGATGAACGCATACTGATTTTCCTTATTTACGATTGAAAAGGATCTTGATTTAACACAAATGGACGCGCGTACATGGTTAGTCAAAGTGCCCAAGTTTTTGTCCGAACGATGGCAGCAACACGCCCAAGCAAGTGGAGATGGGGTAGAATTGGCTCGTATGAGAGTACATGATCAGTTTAGTTTTTCATTCTCATCATCATACCTGCCTTTTCTGATTTATTGACTCGCTTTTGACGCCCTTTTCGTTCCCGGATGATTTGTAGGGATGCCGCTGGTAATCGAAAAATTGAGATCATTCTCCCAGATCTTCCAGACCTTCCAGCTGTACCGACGAACTATACTCTTGATGTCAGAAATCCAGCTAGTACAAACCTATACGTATTTGATGAGCTTTCAAAACCTGAGGTGGTTGGTACCAGCACCGTGAAGAATGAAATGCCTGCCTCTGGATCTGCTAATAATCAGCTCAACAAGCCTCGTCGACCGCGCCCCAAGGTTGCACGTTGGTCTATCTTACTTGACTTTACCCATTGGAGTTTTTGAACTCTCTGCTGGATTGTTGGCTTAATTGTGCATCACATTTATTTAGGTCGACCCCGAGTTACAGGGAAGATTATGCACGAGTGTCTCGTTTCACCCGTTATCAATGACTCATATCGAGCCGTGATGCGTGCTCGACAACAGAAAGCATCTCAACCTAAACGAACAATCAAGCGGGTGAATGAGGATGTAGGAACACTTAACCGAATGGCGAGTGGTATATCGACCCAAGTTCAGGCTAACAAGTTTGCTGCCTTCACTGTTAGTCCTTTCCATAAATCATAAATATTTGCTACAATCAAGAAGTCTTTTCAGGTTGGCTTAACCGTATGACTTTGCTACCCTACCTGCACATCAATTAATCTTCACGTAGAGAGCAGCAGGACCGTCAACGAAGTCAACAGAGAAATTCACTAGAATGCCTCGCACCGAACTTCTCGATGCATTATTTGCAGGCTTTCTTCGATACGAATACTGGTCGATGAAATCACTCAGGTCGGTTTGATGTATTGGCGAAGCAACAAGCTCGCATTGCTATGTTGAATCGAAAGCTGACAGATATAACAAATACTACAGGGATCAAACAAAGCAACCAGAAGCTTATCTTCGAGAGGTCCTATCAGATATCGCCACACTTCTGAAGGCTGGTCCATATGTTGGACATTGGGTGCTTAAGCCTCAATATGCACAACTCAATCGATCGAAAGCTGCTGCCCAGGCAGCTGAAGCTGAGGCAGCTGAAGAAGCTAGAAAGTCCAGTCCTGTGAAAATGGATGAAGATTTGCCTGATGGTCAAGATGATGATGTTGATCTAGATGACGACGACGGTGATGATGATGATGACATGGAGGAGGTCATTTGATCAATTGGCTTGCTACCTTTGTCTATATTATTTTACATGTATAATACTTACAGCCTTCTTCTAATCATTCATATTCAATCTATCACACGATTATTGGAATGGACCTGAATGTGCACTACCATCTTTTTGCTCAATCGGGTAATGTCTTCATGGCCTCTGGGCTCACTTTGACCACCCAAAACTCAAATATCATCATCTCATTAGCACACGCAGAAAACATAGTTTCGACATGCAGTGCATCTCTTAGTAACACTTGTTGTTGATGGACGCGGGGAGCTTAGCAAACAGACAGGGTTCAGGTCCGGTAGAGAGCAGGAATGGGTCCGAAGTAAATTAAGATGACAATAGCCCAGAGGGCTATTTTGTGAGAAGCTTTTAAAGTCTACTTGCAGGGGCAAAAGTGAAAAAACAACAAATGATGTTCCGAAAGAAAACAAGACTCCTACGAATGAACGAAAAGTGAGGCTCAAAGAAAAGTTGACATAACTCGACGAGAAAAGATGTGCTCGTCTAAACAAATAGATGCAAATTAAATAAAAAAAATCTATTGGTCCGCGCTAGGCTAGAAGCATGTTAAACCAAATAAGAAAAAGTCAAGGAAGATGACGTTCTTGGAGGCGAACATAGATACAGAGTGAGGTAGGGATAGATCTGATACGTGTTTGTTCGATTAGAAATCAAGTCTTCGCACTAAGCTAATGTGCTCATGCAACCTACATTATCCAGAAAAAAGATAGTCAGAAGGATTTTTTGTAACAAGATGAAGAGTACTTACCAAGAACGACTGCAAATGAAAGTGCGACGGATTGATACTGATAAGGCGAAAAAATATTCCAAGTTCGTGTCAATTCAGTCGCATAGTTGGTCAAGCGATCACTATTAAGTGGAATTGACTTACGGAGATACCAATGGAGCTGGCCGCTGAAGTGTCAGTTGAATTGCTTCCAGTAGCATCAGGATTCTCGGGAGTTGCAGTCGAGTTATCGGTGGAGTTTCCATCAACAGGACAGCCATCCGACATATCAGATAATCCGTCAGTCCCATTTCCGGTCGAGTTGAGACCGCCTAATGTGGATTTAACACTAGAGTCAGAGGAGTTGAGCATTGAGCCTGTACACTTGGATAGAGGCGAGGTGACGGTTCCGTTGTCGGTGGGAAGGGTGTCGTCGGGAGAGGTGCCGTTCATCATGCCATCAGTACCGTTGATGGCCGGACCATTGTCACCGCCGATAGAATCCGTTCCATTAGCCGAGGGAGTATCATCACCAGCGATAGGATTGGTTCCGTTGGTGGGGATCGGAGTATCGTCACCGGTCGAATCTGTTCCATTGGCAGCCGACTCTGTGCCATTTGCGCAAGGGCGTGTAGTCACATTGGCAGGGCTACTTGAAGGTGTGGGGACAACACTGCCGTTTCCAGAGGTTCCGGGGGGATTAGTCATGTTTCCGCTTGTACCTTGGTCAGTGGGTGAATCCAGAGGAGTTGCTGTGCCATTGTCTTGGGGTTGCTCATCGGGAGAAGTGACAGATCCATTGGCAGGGCTCGATGAAGGTGTGGGGACAAGACTTCCGTTTCCAGAGGTTTCGGGGTAGTCAGTCATGTTTCCGCTTGTGCCTTGGTCAGTGGGCGAATCCATAGGAGTTGCTGTGCCATTTTCTTTGGGCTGGTCATCGGGAGAAGCGACAGATCCATTGGCAGGGCTCCATGAAGGTGTGGGGGCAGCGCTACCGCTTCCGGAGGTTTCGGGGTAGTCAGTCATGTTTCCGCTTGTACCTTGGTCAGTGGGCGAATCCATAGGAGTTGATGTGCCGTTTTCTTGGGGCTGGTCATCGGGAGAAGCGACAGATCCATTGGCAGGGCTCCATGAAGGTGTGGGGGCAGCGCTACCGCTTCCGGAGGGGTTAGGCATATCGCCACTTGAGCCTTGTTGAGTTGGTGAATCAACAGCGGGTGCAGGTGAGCCGTGATCTTGGGGTTGATCGTCGGGAGAGGCGGCACCTTTGGGGCCGTCCTTGGGAGAAGCTACATTCGGAGAGGGTCCGTTGGGAGTCGAGCCCACTGTCACTGGAACTGAGACGACATTGCATTCAGGAGTGTGGGTAGGCTGAGCAGAGTGAATGGGAAAAGGTTTGGTGAGTTAATAATCAAGATTATACATAAATCAATATCACGAACACCGGTAAAGTAATACTGCGATACAACCAACGAGTATCTGGGGAGATGAATTCAAGGTCAATTTTTGACGCCGATGAAGGAGCAAAGCTTGTGATGGACTTACGGTCCAGTGACACCATCTGTAAATTTATCAGTTGCAGGAATCTGAAGAGGATACGATAGCTGCTTTGTGGATGGATCGAAGGGAGTCTTGGTAGTGTCGAGGGTACCGAGCAGTAAGTGTCCAAGGGATTTGGAGTCGGTAGGTTTGGAGTTTAATCCAAATCCAAGAGCGACCTGGTGGCATACGTCACCTATGATAATGTAAATTTGTTCATCAAAATGTTGACCAGTAGGACCGTCAGACAACTTGATGTTCACAATGCTTACCATCTACTTCCAAAGTTAAGTTGAGAGTGGTTCCGGGAACGACAGGAGAGCCCGGTACAGGAGAGACAATTTTGACCTTTTGGCCAGTAGCAAGGGAAACCCAAGAAATGCTTGCAAGTAAGACTGAGAAAGATAGAGATAACATATTGAAGTGGAGTGTCCGAGGAGATAAATATGAGATAAATATGAGATAAATAAAGCTGATAAATTTATAGCGAATGGAAAAAATGAATGAATGTAAGAGCAATATTCTTATTGCTGTCAGTGAAAATGGATGAAGTCAGGCAGACAAGACGGAGGGAGGGAAGGGGCTGACAAACACCCCGTTTTTATAGGTTTGTGCCTTGATGTGAGGCTATGGTGTGGCACGCAAAACCTTACAATCATCGACGGTAATGGAGCGGTGGAAAGAAGCCGCTTGAATAATTGTACGTCACCTAATGTACATAGGAATTCTAATGTCTTCTGTCTTTGATACGATGCCGTACTTCCTCCGAAATTGTACATCCCGCAAGATCCCTAATTTGCACCAATGGTGTGCAAAAGACTTGCAATAAAACATACAGTAAAGGATCCTGCTAGATCCAACTTTATGTTGAATTCGAGTTATACACCTAGATATCAGATGCGTGTAACATGAAGATGGAGAAAGGATGTGAAGATGTTGGTTGCTAAATTAAACATAACTATTCTGTATGGACATTTAAAGCCCGCCTTTGTGGTTCAGAGAGGGTGGTCCAATCGCAAAATCGGGTGGCATTGGGCAGCGAACTACATATTGGACTGTTCAGTAGATGAACGGATGAGGTTTGGGGGTGCTTCCGGAGGCCTACAAGGCGGGTCAACCAACACCCTTTAATACCCCAAGTGTGACCATTTTCTACAAAAATACAAAGCAATGGAAGGAAAAGGGAAAAATACGGGGACCTTATTCTACCTTATCCAGCCAAAGTGAGGCATTTGATGGTCTTCAAGACAAGGCAGGATAAGAAAAAGAACTTCAGAGGGAGAGGATCAAGCTGGATCAAGACTTTGTCGACTCTCTCACTGTTTCAAGAGAGGCGGTCGTGGTGAGGTGAGAAGACTTGAGGACATATGTATGTACACAGCTATACATAATCCCTCTGGAAACCCCATAACATTTCAATGAGATGGAAAAGATTAGACAAGAGAAAGCCTGGGAGTCAGGTAAGAGAAAAATTAGATTCTTGATGACGAGATTACTCTGCCAATCAAGAGCCTTTATCGCCTCAGTCTCAGGAAAGAAGAGCAATTCTGCTTTGTGAGTGACTTGTTGACAAAGTGGATAGAGCCTTGATGTATAACTTGTTAACGCAGTGTATTAAAATTGAAATCATCTGCAGAGCCGACTAAAACCAAAATCTTCACTTTGCATGCATAATATATGCCCCTTGATATGGATGGTGCCGGTGTCATACTGTGCCATGCTGTGTCATACTTGTGACATCTGCAATGTACTTCCTGTGTTTCTTATGATTTGAGCTGGCTGCTGAAGTCGCGGTGTCAAATAGCGGCGGCCGCGTGAAACTGTTTTTGGGGGCTGACAGTGATGTGATTCCAGCTACATATTTCTAGCTTTTTTCGGACGGGTCATCAGGCTCAATTGGACATGGTAATATCTTCAGTGAGTGTTTTTGAGAATATCCTGCAAGGTGATATCCAGGGAATTTGTCATTATGCTAGAAGTGCGATAGCTACCACCGAATTCATAAGGCTCTTTCTGTAACATAGGCACGTGGAAATTTCCTTGGAAATGATAGCAGGTATGAGTATATGTAGTTTATGCTAGCTTCCAATCAAGAGTTGATCAAGCAAGCCTGATATGTGAGAGGAATTGAATTGGAATTTCACAAGGTATATCATTTGCTTGCGTACTTCAATCTTCTGATATGTAGTATGATAGATACACGTGAGCATTGATGCCGGCTTGATCTACTACAGATGAGCTCATGAAATAATCCTCGTGTGTCAATGGCATCCTATGGCACGGAATGAGTACCATTCTAAAGTAGAAGGCTACCAGAGTACACAATGGGGTATAAAGATACAGCTCTGATACGTCTTGGTGATCCATGCCTGGAGAAGCAGCTAGATGGACCGAAGGCTATATCCAGAGTATAGCTTAGATCTAGTGAACAGCGCACCTTGAGATAGAACTAGTCCTGGTATTCGGCAATAAATTCTTTGTGAAATTTCGTGAAGCGTCGAACAAACTCGTCCGTGTGTTGTCCAAGGAAAGTGGTACGGAAATGGAAACTATGATCCGCTTGACGAAATCCTGAACCTGGGACAACCTGCAGTGATGTTTGTGATAAACAAAGTGTCGATTGATTTTGTTGAAAAAGGAAAACACTTTGAGTTTAGTACTGATGGTAAGAAAGACAAGTAAAAAGGACAAATGCACGAACACAAATACCGGCTTTTCCGAGGAGTTCTAAGCAGTAAAAGGTATCAGGACTCTTTCCAGCTTTCTTAGCCGCTTCTAAAGCTCTTTGAGGAAGTTCTACTTTTGGATAAAGGTACATCGCACCCTCAGCTTCGGTGGATGAGATGCCGGGAAGTCTTTTGAAGGATTCCACGAGTTTCTTGGCATTATCATTCATTTTTTGCTGGATTCTTGTCGTTTCCTGATACCACAAATCATAGCTGGACTCTCCTGGTCTAGGTGGGCGGACTAGTACGTCGACTCCGATTTGTCCCTGAACTGGTGCGTCATCTATAGCCACAAGCTTGGAGATCTGTTTCACCACATCTTTGGGGAAGTTGACAATCTCGAAGAATCCCCCTCTGCGACCACATTCGCCAATCTGACCCTTGGAGATTGAATGGAAGCTCACCAGCGGCACTCGAGTTCGAATATGTTCATCAGGATGGTTGAGGAGAGCACGTTTGAAGGAGATGAAATCTTTCAGGATAGGATTTGCTATATTTGACTGATAAACCTCATCAGCCATCAGGACGAGGTTGTGCGAAGCGCAAAAACTGATGATTTCATTCATAGCCTCAAGACCGAGCACATTTCCCACTGGATTCCCGGGAGAGGTGACTATCATAGCTCTTGTACGTGTACCAGCAGCAGCAGAGTCCTGTATACTTTTTCCAAGAGACTCTAGGCTAGGGTGCCACCCCTTTTCTTCTGAAAGTCGATATTCTACTTCCCGCGCTTTTTGAAGAGATAGAACGGCCGAGTATAGCGGATAGTGCGGTACAGGGATCATAATTCCATCTTCTTTTGATGCAACGAGAAGCTGAATCATTAATTTTATACCAACGGCAGCACCCGCCGTAAGATATATGGATTCTGGGTCAGCCGGAACCCCGTCACGTTCTGATGCAACGTTCATTTCACACAATTAGTCCCATGCGAAGCTTCAATATCCCCAAGCACTAGATATACGTTGAAATTGAGGAAGAGACGACTTATTAACCTCCAAGAAACTCAGCGACATGTTCCCGGATAAGTGAAATCCCCTGGGGAGAACTGTATGCCCCAATGCTACCTCCGTTGGCCTTGACGAGCTCCGCACTGCGCTTGACAACGTCATCAGGGAATTTTACCAATGTGCTTAGTTGGGGATATTCTGCCAAAGCTGCTATCTAGAAAAAGGTTTCCAAATGTATCAATTCTTATGGTCCACAAACCTGAAGCAAAGTGCAGCGACTTACTTGACGAGCAAAAGTAATTGGCTCTTGGCCCATCTCTTGAGGGTTACCAAGGTTGTTCCTTAAAATATAAGTGAAACCAAATTCCTTCATTGGATCGGACGACTGCAGCAGCTCTGCACCGAGTCTATGGAGAGATCACTTAATCAGAGATGTAGGAAGTGATCTCTACAGGAGAACAGACAAACTCTTCAGCCCTTTGGGGTATTTCGCCGTGGACAGCAAACTGCGCTTCAAGTACGCCTGGGTTGATGTTCTCGAGGGAAAGCGGAGCTTTGAAGGTCAAGTTGCGAGGATGATAGAAACAAAAGCTCTACGCCTGGTCAATTGTCTCGAACCCACGACTGTCTGGGAGGGTGAAACTAACCCATTTTGCTCGGCTGTACGACAAAGCTGAGACAAAAAAGATGTGAAAGATGAAGAATGATAAGATTTTGATAGCTTATGAGATATCATTGTTATAGACCCACTTTGGAAATGTCATCTGCGCTGTTTCTGCCAGCATACAAGAGACGATGAAGAGTTTTTTTAACCAAAGCCATCTTGCAACCGGCGTTTGGTTCTCTGGCGACATCACAAAATCTGAATACTATACGAAGTTAAGTAAACAAAAAATTGTCTGTGCAACACCAAGATACAATGACTGAAATTCAAAGGCTCCCAAGATCTCTATGGACAATTCTCAATGAAGAAACGGTGCCACTGTTATATGTTCCTTCTTCATGAGTGAAACCGATTCTCAATGACTTGAAGTTGCAATTTACCCGGCGTTTCCCGAACGTGTCAGTCTCTCCACTTGAACCGGGCCATATAATTATTCTGCGATTGTTTTAAAGTTTGATCAAACATCTGATAACGTGAATAGTGAATGTCGAAACGAGATGGTGTAACGATTCACCATGACCAGAGACTAATCAGGATCTCGCCACTAACTCACCTACCCAGATCATTGACTGGTCTTTGGAATATAAGAATGTTCGGATATATGAACAACTAAAATCTCAGCACACAGTTGGACTGCGTTGCGTCTGTTGGATGAAGCCTTCTGTACGCTTATCAGTGGCACGGTAGATAAGCCGCTGCGATATCTGCTGCTTTCGATACACAACCAAAATCTCATCACACAGTTGGACTGCGTTGCGTCTGTTGGACGGAGCCTTCTGTACGCTTATCAGTGGCACGGTACATAAGCCGCTGCGATATCTGCTGCTATCGATCTTCGTCGCTTTTGTTGGGGGCTAAGTTGGTGCGAAACAGGTGGCGCAGCAATCGTGTATGCACTTTTGCAGTAAAGCACGACGAGCTGGGACCTCCACAAGGTTCCTCGATGAGATCGCCGATGCTGAACAGAGGGACATTTGATCTAGATTCTATAGTAGTGAGATTTAACAGAACAGAGAGTGGCTATGTCAAACTCGCACGCGTCTAGTATAAGTTTGACTACTTCTTGCGCCGATGACTTCTTGTGTGTGACTAACAAACCACAAGCAGGACTGGACTAAAATATCATTCTTGAAAAGTACGTCACTGATGTGATGATGATCTACGATGGTCGAGGCGTACGATGGACGAGAGAGGAGGGTGGAGGACAAACCTCAAAACCCGAAACACAAACCTGTATTGCCCTGTACAGATACTCGATTTTCGAGTAGGTCTGATCAAACCTCGCCAAAACGTCGTAGAAACGATCCAGATCACTCAACAAGTTTTGCAAAAACCCAACAAACATCCAGGAATCAAGTGCAAGTTTAATTGATTTGAGTTTATAATCGAAGACATCAAAAGCTTTGTCTTTTGACCAGATCAGGAGAGCAGGGCATGAAATTCACTACTTCAAATGCAATTAGTCTCTTGGGTTGGATTTCTGTTTCTGAGTCTGTTTCTGATCTTTGTTTCGACATCAATGTTGAATTTTCAATTGGGAATGGGTCTCATTTGTTTTGGATACTGGTTGTATCTTGATCACACTAAACGGCCGCTGAGGTCAGGTTGAATTAACGCATAGTAATGTAACCTGACGGAAAATAAAAAACGCAACTAGACATAGAAGTGAGAAGAAACTAAATACGAGTTCTAGCGGGCGGCTTGTGCGTTTTTCGCGCCACTTACAACAGTTATCTATTTACTTTTTTGGAAAAAATGACAATGAATTGAGTCTTTAAATTATGGTCTAATATCTGTAAGAAAAAATGATCTTGTGTAGATTATTTGCGTATTATACATAATCTTAATTATAAAGGTAGTAAAAGAGAAATAAGTTGGGCGGGTGGGAGGTGAATAATTTTGTAGTAACAAATTCTCGATGTATGAAAAGAATTCTAGGATAATGAAGATTGGATGAATAAAAGATTATAATATCAGAATTTTAATTTTTTGATAAGGATTGGGAATTAGGGAATCTCGCCATCCTAAACATCCAACTCTTTTCGAGACGTCATCTATTCTTCATTACTAAGAGAATGATACTTTGCCATTCGTCTGAAAAGATTAGCTGAAGTGCTGTGATCCGGCTACTTCATTATCCGACACCTTTTCCCCGACCCATTCCCATATGTCAATACACGCACCGACTTCTAGACTCAAACTTTGAGATTTTCCTATTTGGTATCATTGCACAAGAAGGAAACTGAACATCTATCAGATGTTAACTTAACAAAGTCCCTCTTGCGGCTGTTTGTCTGTTGAGTGAAATGTTTTGTTCACCAAGTCAGTCAGAATGTGAGTGCCTTTGATTTTGGAAAGGTGAGACAAAAATTGATTGAGATTTGTCTGTGATGTTTAAAGAGTGTATATTTCAAAGCAAATCTTTTTGTTTGATAAAAAGGTCAAAAGAAACCATAGTTAAATCGTGAGTTTAATTCATTCTAGATGATTTAAAAACTTGCTTGTTATCATGATGTGATGATGAAACTGTATCTCAATTGGGAGCCGTCTGGAATCGTCTCTGGCTTCGTCTGGATTGTTTCTACGACGTTTTGGCGAGGTTTGATCAGAGCTACTTGAAAATTGAGTATCTGTACAGGGCAATACAGGTTTGTGTTTTGGGTTTTGAGGTTTGTCCTCCACCCTCCTCTCTCGTCCATCGTAGAGGCGGGAGGTGGGAACAAGAAGGGTGATCCCCAAGTAGCCGCCACCTAATATAACAGAGTCCCTCTCGGACGCACGAGTATGTAGTTGAGAGAGGCGGACGAGAAAGGAACACCTAGGAACACTTTAAACATCAAATCTGGCTTTTGGGCCGGAAAACTTTAGCTGAGGAGTTTTTCAATCCTCCATACCCGCATACCCTGCATACAAATGTCCTTTAGACCAAAGATAGAAGTTGTGCACCTGCTCAACTGCTGATCCTTTCAATATTCTCCCTTGGCTTCAGGAACACACTGAAAATTGACTTGAAAAGTGGTTTTTGCAAACTTCACAATTGCATTACTCTGCAAGTGTTGCCAAATTTTCATGTATAAGGTACACCATGTAAGTTTTTGTGTAGCATGTCAATGTGCACACACAAAATGTGTTGGATAGAGCTTCCTGACAGCCTCTGAAGAGATCCACATGATCAGAACAAAGGATTTGGGTGAGTTCAAACACCGGATGATCCCTTTGATCTCAGTCTATCATCCCCTCTGGTCATCTCAATTCAGATTAACAAAATTTGGTTGTTTCACGTTGTAGAACTTATAACCAAACAAGGGTTATACAGAGCTTCAAGGGGATAATCTACCAAAGAGACTAGTAGAACATGCCTAAAGACTGCCCTCCTAAAACAAAACAATCAGAAAGGGGAACTCTGTTGAATGGAGTACCGATAACTATCAAAGGAGAAAAGAATCTTTATCTGACTTTCAAAGGAACAAAAGCACAAGTTTTAAATGAAACAGCACAGTACTTAATTGACTCTCAACTTATAGTGTTATTATAATCTGATAACTAAGAGAACAAAAGTGCAATATCCTTTTGATACTAATCCCAAAGATTTTATAAGTCACAAACACTACAAGACTAAAGTAAATTCCTCTTTGTAGCTATAATAGAGGGCATATTTAAGTGACCAGGTACTATTAAAATAGCTTTATGACAATGCTGGGCTGATGGGCTGCACCGTGTTGCAAACCATTGCGCTGTGTTGCAGTTGGGCCACCAGTTTCTCTAAAACCCGGCAGCACAGGGAAGCTGAAATATCTATTGCATGCACCACATCACAGCGGAAAAATTGCTGTTGCAGAATCTGCAACGGCAACACAGCAGAGCAGGGTCAAAGTGTGTGACATTTGCTGTGTTGCTCACGTTGCAGACTTTTTAAAGTTGGATGAACTGACACAGTTTCAAAGGTATCAAAGGACTGAAATGTGGGCTTGGGCTGGAAGGAAAAACCCAGCTAGACAGCACTGGGACCAGGCTTTGGAGACACAACGTGCTGGCAGCGCAATGCAGCGTGGCAGTAGGCAGTGCCTGAGCAACAATGCTTGCAACGGGTTTTGCAACACCTAATGTGGCAACACAGCAGACTCTTCAGACGCCAAGAATCCGCAGTGTGCAACACATCAAGGCTCAAATGCTGCGCAATGCCGTGCAGCGTTGTGGTGATCTATTTATGGTATCAATCAAGAAAATTAATCATCATTACTTTACCAAGTCATTAGGAAACTTCAGTATAGCAGGAAATTTGAAATGCAGGTTTTCAAATCAATTGAAGCTCTTAGAGGATTATGTATACTTATTAGCTCATTATTATGTCATCTCATTTCAAATATATTCTCAAGATCAATATAGTTTACAGTCAACTCTCGATGTAAGCATATCGACCGTCGACAGATTTGCTGTGCTTACATCGAGCGATGCATAATCACAAAGTAAGCATAATTCAAGTTTTGCCCTTTTTTGGCTTGAATTATGCGTTTATGGTGAGAATGGGCCCCCGGCGCGCAAATATAAGCCCCGCTTTGAGCGGGGCAGAGCCAGCCCGGCCCCGCCGAGTCAATATGGTACCGCCCTGCAATCGGACTTACCACACAAATAATCACCATAAAAGCATATTTTTCCTCTCCTGTGAGATTTATGCTTGTATACACAGAGAAAAACTTGCGATAAGAGCATATTTTCGCCAATCTTATGCTTTAATCATTATGCATCAAGCAATTTGATTTTGGCGGAGCACTCACGTATACCAAAAAAAATCGCGTGGAAACCCTTGCTTACATCGCGATATGCATACATGGGGCTTGCTTATATCGAGAGTTGACTGTACTTACAAAGTTATTACAAAAAGACAGAAAAAGAAAAGATAAGAAGAATTTGAAAATATAGGTGTAAAAGTTGGAAAATGATTCTTAGGGTAGTAAACATAAAGTTATGGGTATTATGAGGTTAGAATATGAAAGAACAAAATTATATTATACTGTGACAATTTTAATCTTCAAGGTTGATAAGGGAAAACAGAAGTTATTAGCAGAAAGGTACTTTTTTGAAGATGGTAAACAAGGGTTATACGTATAGTTTACATATGTAATGGTGGTAGTGATGGAAATTAAGGTTGCCAAGAGGATTTTCCGGGATTTTGAAGGTTGTGGAAGATGATTTCATACTACATGAGCAAGAAAAAGAGAGTAGCAGCTGTGAAAAGTGAAGAAGATAGGTGAATTTTGTTGAAAATGAAGGTTTTCAGCTAATTACATATGTCAAATTACGTCAGATTAGGATGGTAAATAGCTCATTTAACGCAGAAGAGTGTATTACATAATGTACAAACTTTAAATCATTAGTAACGGAGGTTTATGTAAAAAGTTATAAGGGAAATAAGAAATTGGTGTGAATTCCAAATTTACAGTCACAAGTCAACATGTAACACTAAAAACCTTAACTTCACAACTCAATATCGTACTCATCACTCATCAGAAATAGGTCACATGGGTGTCATAAATGATCAGTATCATGGGGGCTACAGGATGCACTATAGTAGATCAAAATTGGACCACATCTGAAAAAATTGTAATCTCAAAAATTGGGTTTCAGCTAGTTTACAAGGAAAAAATCACCTGTATTCATCTTAAGAAGTGCTGTACATTGAATCATTGTGTCATTGATCACTTTTGGATGTGAAAATTACATAATACATTAGTAACAAGATCATTACATTGTGTCATTACATGGTTTTTAGGGTTCTTTAGGCGGATTTGATTGGTTTTTGAGGCTGTTGACTATTGTAAAAGTTGTTACATGTGGATATAAGTACTCTTTGATGATTTTGGGATTGTTGTTCCCCTTTCTGCATCTTATACCTTTGTTGTAGTGTTATAAATCATCATTTATTTACTATATTTGTACTAAGATCACTTAAATTCGCCCCTTCAAAGCAAGGAGAAATTTATTTACGTGTGTTAAAGACTATAAGTCAAATTGGGAATAATCCTTAACAACAGTATTGATAGTAATAACATAGTGTGTGGACTTTTTGCGCTTAAAACTGGGAATAATACTACACAACAGTATTGCTTTATTTCTCTGGTGCTTTATCTTTTTCTCTGTTATCACAAAGTGGTCAGCAAGTGCCCTTGTGCTGGTTTCTTTGAAGAAGGCAGTCTTTAGGCGACTTCTACTATATTAAACGTAGTAGATTATCCCTTCTTAGGTGTTTTAAAGCTCTTGTTGAGCTTTAAATACTACAGCATCCAGAATTATGTTGTGCAGTGTTGTAGAACTTATAACCCAACAAGGGTCATACAGAGTGTGAAGGGTACAATCTGCAAGTAATGACTATACAGAAAGAGTCTAAGGACTGCCCTCCTAAAACAAGACAATCATAAAGGAGAACTTCTGTTGAATTGAGTACTGATAAGGCACCAGAGAAAAATATCTTAAAGGTCTGGAGGGACATGGATTTGAACCCAAAAAGCACAATTTGATTTCTCTCAACACTGCTATAGTGTTATTCCAATTTGACAACTAAAAAAACAAAGCAATATCTTTTTGATATTATTTCCAATAAGTATTTTTGACTATAACACTAAAGTAAATTTCTCTGTATAACTGTAATAAAGGGCATATTCAAGTGACCAGGTACTGCTAAAATAAGTCTATAATGACAAAAAAAATGGTACATTCAATCCAAAAAAGCTTGGCCTGCCCAGTTTTTGTAAAATAATATTTTGGCCTGTATTGGCCAAAATATGCTTGTAATGAGCCTTCAATCGAGATGAGTGAGATCTCGATTGAATTTGGCCACTGGCCAGTTGACCGCTATTGAGCTACACTCAACCATCCTCATCGCCTAAAACATCATCAATCCTCCTTCCTTTAGATTCATCAGACACTACAGTATGGGGTTTGTCAAATACAGCCCTCAACTCAAAGTTGTCGCCCTCAACAAATGGCTTCTAGGACAATCAATTTCAGAAATCAACATCGAGCTTCTCACCGATGTATCTCCCAAGTCATTCAGACAATGGAGAAACCTTTACGAAACTACTCACTCTGTCATCAGAAACACCATGACCTACAAGAGACAAGGCCGTCAGACTTTGTACTCCAGAGAAGACCGCGAGTTCATGATCGAGCTCATTGACAACGATCCAACCCTTTTCCTGGATGAGGTTCAAGTGGCGATGTATGATCACACTGATCTACTTGCTTGTCGCCAGACTATTGCGAACGATTTGAAGGAGCGACTCTTCTTAACAGTTCACACCGTTTCAAAGGTTGATCCCAACCAATCGGCGGAACGTCGGGCTACTTATTCCGTGCGGATTGCCAACATTGATCCCAAATGCCTTGTCTTCCTGGGTAAGTTCAGTTCTTTGTTATGTCTTCAATGAATGACTTCTTAACTGACTTGTTTTTATTTTTCTTCCATAAGACGAGACCGGTCTAACATCCCTAGAGGTCATGCAAAACAAAGTAAGATCGAAGAAAGGCGGACAACCACCGAAATTGAAGCGAAAACGATGCGGACCCCATTACAGCATGCTTGCAGCCATATGCGAAATGGGGTTACTCGCAGTACACTCAAAGGTCAACGCATACCTTCGAAAGGATTTTGAAGCGTTCCTCAAGCACATCTTGGTAAGTTCTATTCTTTCTTCTGTCTTCTCATGCATTCAATGAAACTGATTGTTTTTCAATTGATCCATCCCACTGCCAGCTGCCTGTCATGAACAGATATCCAGCTCGTAATTCGGTATTAGTGCTGGACAACTGCACCATCCATCATGGGGGAGCAATCGAACGCCTGTGCGCATCATTGGGCATCCTTGTCCGTTATCTACCACCGTACTCGCCGGATTTCAACCCGATCAAGCCAATTTTCAAGGTCTTCAAAGATCGACTCAGAAGAAATCAGACTCTGGAGGATGCATTCAATAAGCTGAGATGTTTGCTGGTGATTATGAGTGAAGTATCCACAAGTAGCCTGATCCAGAAGCTTTATGGGACATGTGGATATTATTGATATGATCTGGACGAGCAAGAATGGATCAATAGTATGGATAACTTTTTGATTGTATCTTCTCATCTCAACCCTAAAAGGAGAAGTCATGTATCGTCTCACAAAAACAAATTTCTCTATATCTGTGTCCTGAGTAATCAAAAGGGTTTTTATACCCATTCTTATTTGTTTGAATACCTTGATCAAAAACGAGCCAGAATTTCCACTTCTTTAAGAGCTTATCTCAGAGCTCACATGCACTTTTCCTAATCGAGTCTCAGAGCTAAGAGTAACCAAATTTGAACTGCAGATTGCAACATAAAAAATCTTTTAGGATTGATTGAGGAACTTCCATAATCAGTTTTATGAATCTCCATAGAATTGGTCATCTTATTTCTCAAAAAGTTGCTCAATTCATCAATTGTGAGATGATGAAGTCACAAATCAGAATAGTCAAAAGTGTGTTGAGATCCAATTTGAATACAATTCGAATGAACCCATATGAAAGATTCACCTCAATAAGTCTTCAATTGCACTCAAGTTTTTTAAAAAAAATCTTACTATGGCAAAAGGCTAATGGTCTTATAGACCAGGTTTTCACAGGTTCATACATAAATTTTCATTTCAGCAGTAGCAGTCAAACAGTCGATCTTTTACAAGGATTAATAATGGATACAATATTTGCTAAGCTACACAAGTGCTTGCTACAATAACATTTTTTATAGATTTTGATCTTGTTTGACTGGATTAATCCCAAAAGCCGGGATCCTTGTGTCTCTTGAGTTCAGCTTGATAAAGTGGGGCTTGATCATGTAAACGTACTGCGGTTCCATACACAAATCCCAACCCAGCAAGGGTTGGAACATCCAAAGAAGATGAAAGGAGCGCTTTGTAATCAATGATGTCGAGCTTCTTGAGAAGGGCACGGGTGTTTTCATTGTCTGGTGAAATCTTGGCCCAAGTAAGGAAGTCTTCAAGAGGTGGAGGAGGACCCGGAATAGGTGACTCGGTACGATTGTTGGGAATTTGTGAAGTAGTTTGAACGTTATCGGCAGGGGCAGCATGATGTTGATGAGGATGACAAGGTTGATTGGAAATGCGGCGAAATTGGAATTCAGGTAGCCTGGGTGGTATCATCTCGGTCACTCCAGATTTGCGTTTGAACTGGTTCGAAGAAGGCAAAGGGTCAATAAAAGACAATTGAGATGATGAAAAAGAAAATGCTTACCAAGGCAGTTGCCCATATATCCATCATCAAATGGCTCAAGTGGACTGCCTCGTTGGTATTTTCCGGGTTGATAATCCCCATACACTCCCTGCCTCCAATTGAGACACATCCATAGTCTTTCATGAGCTTGATTCGGATCCTCTGCCACTCCGGATCAACATTGATATCCTGTAACCAAAGGGGGATCAGTAAAAGTTTATAATGGAGCCGATATCAACTTGTTACTTACGTCCATAAGAAGTTTAAAGCCAACTTCCTTACACTTGTTGGTCTTCATGGTTTCCTTGAACTGGTCAAGGACTACCTCCAATGCGATAACTCTCAAGGCCGACTTGAGAAACGGTCCACGGCCAGCTACATATCCCTTGAATGCCAACTTACCATCTTGATCAGCCTCTCTGAGAAGCGATCTGCATACCGCTTTGACTTCAGCACAAGCATCAAAGACGGCCTCTTTGACATCGACAAGTGTAGCCCCGTGGATTTGAATCATGGAGTTGAAAGCCGGATCACTCGTGAGATCGGTGTACTTCTGGGCGGTTCCGGCTTGTTTTTCAGCCTTGGTCTTTGGGATTGGAGTGTACACATGGAACCAGATCTTGACAAGGCTCGGTTTGGCCTTGTCAGCATCCGAGCTAGGTTGAACGGTGGCTGCAGGGGATTGTGGCGGTGGTGTAACGGTCAAGTCAATGTCAACATGTGGTTCTGTTACAGAATCACATCAGTTAAATTGATGACGAATATTTTCAACAGAGTAATGAAAGAACTTACCGCTCACCGCTCGAGGTTGACCTTGAATATCGTGATTCTCAAGCATTGGGTCGACGTGAGCCTGATCGATCAAGGCGTTGAAAGATATTGGTGGGGCTGGAACTGAATGATTTGAGCAATGGACAGAGAAAGAATCATCATATCATCATAACATTTAATCCCAAAGACGGTTCGCTTACAAAACTGGACAAAATTATGGTTCTCAAACCTGTGCAAGAACTGTGCAAGACCGACGTGCAAGATCCGTGCAAGATTTCTTGCACCAATCTTGCGCATTAAATTTTTTGACGACCCCAGCTATTTTGTTCCAACTGGTACGAAAACCGTGCGAGACCGACGTGCAAGTTCCGTGCAAGTTCCGTGCAAGTTCTATTCATGTCTTGCACAGAAGTTGCTCGAAACTTGCACAAATTTTTGCATAGGTTTGAGAACCATAAATCCACCATTAGCGTGATTTTCCAGTTTTGTCCAGGGTCAGAAACTATTTCGGCAACAATTGGCCGCGTAACTCTTAATCATTTTTCTTCACAAATGCAACCATCTACCCGATGATAGACTAGATACCCTCCATTGGACCTTATCAACTCCTATCAACCATCAAATACATTTGGCTGCTCAAACCAACTCTGCCCCACCTTCTCCAAGCACCTTATCCCCCTCTGCACGCGTATCACATGAATTCCCAGACTGATGGCCTTTATGTGAGTCCCAGCTCATCACATTGAAACTATCATTGCTATCTGAAACCGAGCTCCATCAACAAATTTTCGTAAGATCTGATCCATCAAAAACCTAGCTTGAAAACAATACCAAATCCACCATTCACCTTTTAACAACTGTCGAATGTCTTCAGATTAGAGTGGAACATCCACAGTACCTTTGACAGCTGCATCTATTCTCAACAAACACTGTAATCACTTCTGAATCAGATACTGGACACGAATTCTGATCATCCTAACGTCAGTTCAGCCTACTCAAGCTTAGTGCCGGATGATAAACAAAATTGACTATCTTATCATTTAAAACTTTATAGACAGGACCTCTTCTAGCTACATCCCATAGCAGTTCAACATTCTCAATTTCTCTGCCACTTTAAAGCCCGCAATGAGCGCCCGATCACAAAACTCAAGATCATAAGTTTGAGATTCGCTCTTCCTTCTTTCGAGGTAGTTTAGGTACCACTAGGTTTTTGAAAGCAATTCAAGCTACTCGTAAAGAAGGTTGAACCTCGCAAAGACCTCTGGGAAAACCAATCCTTCCTATAGGTTGAAGCATTATCTCAAGCGGCTGAAAGGTACCATTTGAGCTTAAACTTCAATCATCGATTTCAAAACAGTAGTGTTGATGCAGTCTTGTGTACTCTTTGTCTTTTTCTTTCAAAGCTGAGCGCAAGCTAATGCAAGGAATTCCCAACGTTTTGATTTCATCCTACCCCTGAAATTCAGCTAAATCTTCTTTCTCTATCTCTTGTTTTACAAACTGTTGCATTGTAAGCTTTCCTCTCTTGTTCTCAAACCACAAAACCCTTCAGTCTTAAGTCCAAACTGAACGTCTTCCTCAAAATATTAGGGATTGTTATCACACAATTAAATGAACAAGTGAGAATGTCAACTGCTCAACTTCAAAATCAAAATGGAGTCATCCATTTCTTTCATACAATGTATGTTCTGGGTCTTTCCCTTCTCTTCACAATGAACAATAACTCCCAATCATAAGCTTGAATACACATTTATTTTTTGTCCCTACACGGAAAATGTATACTGTCAGATATCTTTTGTTAACCAAAGCTTCCTTACCTGATCTTTCGACCCAAATCAAACGACGGTCAGACAAGAACCCAACAGAAGGTATGAATCTCGCAGAATATTCATCCATCCTTCTTTATCGATCTGTGTTGATTTCGTACATGGGTTCCTTATAGTGATAAGTTTCCTTGGGTTAAATAGCAATAGTCTATCACCATTAATCATAAAAGTTATTTATAAATTGCCAGGCTTTGAATCTTCATCTTACTCACCAAAATATCTAGCTCCGATTTTAAAATCTGAATGGCCAAAATCAAAAGAAATGTTTGAAAATCGAACTTGGTATTTTTTTGTACCTTTCTCCATGTAAACAACAGATACCTTCAGAGATCTAATATTTTTTTGTTCTCTTTTTCTCAAGGGTGGTTTCTTGTATTGAGAATTATGAACTCATTTGAATTTGGGAAACACAATATGGTATGTACAAACTTCTTTTACTTAAACTCAGCTTTCATATCATGCTTTTTGACTTTAATTTTGAATCTCAATGATCAGAGATGGGAATCGATACTCGGTCAACCAGCTTTACTCGATGGCGGCCAAAAATGATATTGAAATCGAGCATGAATTGGCTCGAGGTGAATGAACTTTGACCTAATAGTCATGTTGTTGTCCCAACTACTGTCTAAACTTTTGGTTTGACATTGCGATTCGATTCAGCTCAAGACACTACGACTCACAAGACTTGAAAGTCAGAATCTCATCTCAGTGCAAACCAATGGCTTCTTGAGCCAACTTTCCATCATTTGATTGAGGTTTCAGTCTGGATGAATCATATAACTAATCATCGTCATTTGAGTGACATGATTGACTTCGGTATTCTTCTTTGAAAAGATGAATATCTAATTGGAAGTTAATCAAAATTCAATAAACATGGCTACCTCAGCTGGAATGGGATCAAGAAGTAATAAAACCATTGGAATCGAACCCATTGAGTGGTTAACATTAGCACTTTCAATCAAATCTCAATCAATTAGCTTATCAATCAAAGATATCAAAATTTGAAGAACAATGCATGATCTAGAGAATCAAGGAAATGAATCTGCTTCAATGAAACTCAAAACTTTGAAGAACGATAGTTCCGAATTGATTATTGATTATGACCACGGATTTGGTATTTGGAGTTTGTTTTGATTTTTCTATGATCGATTTCAGTGGGAGAGCGAACTAGAATGAATGTTGATGGAGGTTCCCTTTTTAGCCTCAATCAGCACCTGAATCCATCTTGAAATTCGTAAAAACTTGATTGATTCAATCTCATCGTCTATCAAATTAAGGACTTCTAAAGCATTCATCACCTCGTTTCATCAATCCATACAATCTAATCTATTATCATCAATCAATACACTTTATCATTCCATTGGCAATCGATTGTCATTCATCAATCTTGAAACGTTGTCACCGAAACTTATCTTTTCTCCATTGATGTCACAGGACTCAACCATCATAAGCACTCCTATTCAAGACATGATCCAATGACCATAGGATTGCTGCATTAAAATGTCTCTTACTTTTGTTCCTATGTTTCCTCAAATATAGTCACATCCACATCAAGCTGTTGAGTTTCATAAAGAGTCTCTAATTGGTCTTTATATTCATCAATCAATTCTCAATATCTCAAACCTTGAATTCAAACAACCCATAAAAGTCTTACAATTTGAAGAAAATCTGTACAACAGAAGATATAAGTCATTCTTCATCTTCAGATCCTCATGTCTATCAACTTGCACAAGCTTACAACAAGTATTTACCCTTCTTTCAACATATCAGTTCAAAAAAACACTCTTCATGTTTATCTGTTTCCGTCTATGTCAGGTCCACAAATGATCATCATCCTGATATTATTCAATCTGCAAAAATATCAAGGAGATTCTAGATAATGCACTCACATAATCATGGAATTTCAGTCCTGATCTATTTATCTAGCTGTGAGTTTGAATCTGAATTTGACTTTCTTTTCTTTTAGAAGTCTTTGAATTCTTTCACTCATCTACATGCTTTATTTTCATCAGCATAACTTCATCATCAGAATCACAATTATCCTGCTGTATATAATTATGATGTAGAGTTTTCAATATCCATCTTTCTTTTCCAATTTCTGATTTTGGCAGATATTTTCTGAAGGCACTAGGCAAACCTACCGGACCAGCAAGGCTTTCATCAGACCAAAAATTTTTAGACAGATCAACTTTCTTTGTGATCCCAAACATTGTCAATCTAATACTTGGAAATTATCAACTACTCATCTTCTTTTTTCTCATCAAGTTTGAGACTCTGACTAAATCATCCCTCTCAGACCCACATTCACAGGAAGAAAAACAACCTCAGTCCATCATCACAGGTCCAAATCAGACTCAAAGCTCAATACAGTTGTTCAACAAACTGAGATTCAAATGAAGGTTTTGGGATCCTAATGAAGAACTCTTTGATGTTCTCAAAGCCCTTGATCGAGTATGACCATTTTTCTTATCTCTTCCCTGACAGCATATTTCACCTTATTCTAAGATTTCCACCAATCATCAATGATAGGGTGAAGAGGGTCTAAGGGGCAAGTTGTTTTATACATCTGATTCTTTTGCTTCAGATCTTTTAGATCATGTCTACTTCATGATAACAAGCCTAATTTGGAACAATAGTTGGCTAAAAAAAGACCCATTATGGAAGGCCTGATGATATTATTAGAGGAAGCTATTAAAACAAATGCTCAGCTCAAGACTTTGAAAAAGTTCATGATGTTATTTTTGGTTTGCTGGAAATGAAAGCTTTCAAAGAGTATTATGACCTCTTCTACCATTTTTCTCTTCTCACTCTTTTTACTATGTAGTCTGCTATCACACAATTTCTAATTGCATCTATTCTTGACCAATGTGATCCTAATTCATACATCACATCCAAGAGATATTGCCCTGGTTCATCACACACCCAGTCAAGTACCAAGAGTGACAAAAATAAGGTCAATGAACTATGCTAAGAAACCCAGAAATTGAAAGTGCATAATTTGTTTATCATGTATATATGTCTTTTTTGTTCCACTTTGATTCCTTGAATTTGAATTCTACTAGGAATAAGGACCACCATCACCATCACTATCTACCATCTTATCATCATGAATTTATCAGATCCAACAGGCCTAAACATTCAGAAACCAAAATCCATTTCACAAGTGACATTCCAATCAAATCAAGAAGTTTGTTTACAAATCTTATATAAATATGATGATCCATGCCATACTGCTTCTGTCCTTGAAGTCAGATTAGAGATCCTTACTCAATCAGAGCATTTGGATGCTTTGATTGAAAATTTGATTCAAGTGGATCTATACAACTGATTTCTGTGTACACCAACAGACCAACACAGAAATTGTTTCATTCTCAGTGTACATGTATACCTCTCAATAATTCCACAGTTGAAAGACAGTCAAGCAGGTATGATTTTCAATTCAGTTGTCCGCTCTGAAATTTTGCTGTTCATTTATGGTTTTTTCATATACATCTCATTGGTCTTTTTCATACCCACTGCTCAGGCTCTTTGGTCTCTGAAGTATTTAGGTCAGCTTGCCATGTTTTTGATTGCCACTTCAATCTTGAAACCAATAATACCCTTTTACTGGAGATGATTGAGAAACACTCTTGCCAACACCCATTTAAGTCATTATTACAAAGAAACTAAATTGAGGAATGCTTCATACTCTTTGATAAGATTTGGGAAATTTAAGTCAATCACATTTAAAAATTGTGTGATACCTACATATGCAACGCAGGGAAAGACATATACAGTGGTTGAGGGAGAAGGGTACTTTCAAAACTTGAATTGTGATCATTCAATGAATCAATATATTGGCTCAACAAAAATCAAATGTATTTGTATGACATAGGCTGATTTTAGAATATGGTGAAAAGCTTAATTCTCCACTTGGATTGATCATGTTGAGAATCACCTGGATTGCAACCACATCCTTTCAGTAGACTCAGTATTGATGCCCTGTTGATGTTTAAAAGATCAGAATGTTCCAGACTTTTTGGTGGAAGTTCTAATTTGTTGGTATGTACAGGTTCTCTGTCAGTATTAATAATTACATTGAGCTTCAAGAAACTTACCATACTTTGTTTATCACTTTGTAAGTGTTGCATTGTCCAAATATATTCAAGCATCACACTGTGTGCCTCAATTTTTTGACTCCTCTGTTGCAAATAGGTTTTTCAGGTTGAGGTCATCAAGGGCTGCGCCTGCCACTGAAGTCATTATATGTAGATGTGGGTGCAATTAGGGTTTTGTAATACTTATACATGACATGGCGGCGTCAGCCGCTAAAGCGGCGCCCGCCGCTAAGTTGCTAGTGAGAATAAAAAGCGAGATGAGTGAATGGAAGCAAAGAGAGATTTCAAGATGGGTGGAAAAACTCACCTGGCGGCGGTCCATTACCAAGTGTACACTGAAATTGTCGGAAACCTGGTTCGCATCTTGGATCCAAATGGATCAGTTTGTTATCTTGATATTGACGTGGGCCGCCGGTAACGTTTTCGAAATGATGGCCACGTCTGCGGAGAGAAATTGAAGGTCAACAGCTACCAAACAACTTCAATCGAGTGAAATGGAATGGAATCAATGAAGGCTTACTTGTACATTTGATAAGGGCTACCGTCCCTACCACGTTCGGGGCTAAGGCCTTCGGGTCCAGCTTGTCTTGCTTGGCGAATCGCACTGAAAAAACCATTGGTCAGTGAATCATCATCAATAAGAAATGGTATTTGAATCCTCACAGTGCTTCACGTCTTTTCCGTTCAGCTTCGAGAAGAATTTCTTTTTTGGTTGGTTTTTTAACCATGGTGGATGTGGAACAGATTGTTGGAATAGGTGTGGTGGGATCAAGGGTATAGTCGTGGTGGGCTGGAGGGTATGGAGGGTATGGAGTCGAGTGGTCAACAACAGTCAACTAGCCAAATTCAATTGAGATCTCACTCATCTCGATTGAAGGCTATGCTTATATTTTTGCCTGTACTGGGCAAAATATTATTTTACAAAAACTTGGCGGGCCAAGCTATTTTGGATTGACTGTAAATGCGTAGATGATAAAGAAAAAAGTGGAACCACAATACCAAAATCATCCATGATTATATATATTGATGCCTTACAACTCTTACAATGGTCAACAGCCTCAAAAACCAATCCATTAAAATTTATAACATCATCATTTATTTCATAAGGGCACTGTCTTTCCGTTGCTTAGGTTATACCTAAGTGAGGGAAAGTTTCTTATAACGGGGGCTAGGCACCGCCTGTACAGATAGTTCCTTTTGAACTCTCCTTACCGCGGGGCCTGGTAGTTGGAGGAGGTTTACAAAAGGTTCAATTTTGGAGAGATCTCTTTGTAGATCTCTCTTAATTGTTGTAGTGGTTTCTGTACCAACACACAACCTTTTGAGTGCCTCCTCGAATATCTGTAACACTAGAGAAGGGTGGGTGGGGGGCCAAAATTAATTATTAGTAATGTTAGGTGTTATAAATTGAGTGTGAATTAGTCAATAATGTGATAGGGTGGATAGTTAAGGAAAACAGATGGGGGGATTTCTTAAGTAGGAAAGGAAA